GTAGTATATACTCATATTATTTATTTCCTTGGGTGACCAGCCACTGTTTCTGTTTGATATTCCCTGCTGAATATAGGTCTTTATAGTATTTTTCTTGTATTTTAAATTGTTGTGCACCCTCTGGGTGGCTTTTTAGCCAAGAAGGTGTTATACACATATTAAATGCAAACAAAGACCTAAAATTAGAATTAAATAATGATTCAAATGATTCAACTGCCCAGGAAGCTTAGCTATGGGGCAATGTAGAGATGCCCCATACATAATGCCCCATAAATACATACTTAAATAAAAATAATAGGTGCAGAGAAAGTGCCTTGCAATTTGAATCAAAGAGACACAGGCTGCTTTAATCCTAAATTTCCATGTGGGATTGAAAAAAATCATTTAAACCACTTTTCTGAGCATATTTCCTATGCACGACACACAAGAGTTAACTCTGCAAAGTCCCAGTTCCTAGAAAGGCATTGGGAGGAGTCGTGGCAAAGGAAGAGAGTTGGTGGTGCAGGCCCAGGGGTATCCCCTCCAAAGAGCCGTGTACAAGCTCCACCCCTTCCTCCCAAAAGAGGATTTAAAATTTCTTAGCACTGGAAACTTTGCAGGCCTTCTTGCTGGAGAGGATTTATTGGGGAAGGAGGGGGAGAAATGGTTCCAAAGGAAAGGAAGCTGTTGCTGGGGAGCTGAAGGGATGCATAAACACACACATCTCAGGACCCTCCGCCAAAGATCATCTTTTGGGGTTGCTCTCCAGAAGCTTTTCTGCCAAAAGAAGCGAGGTGAGTGGTTCCTAAGGACAGGGCCTTTTTAGTGTTGGTACCCTGGTTGTGGAATGAACTTCCCACAGGGGTTCACCTGGCACCTATATTGTGCTTATTTTGGAGCCAGCTAAAGGCCTTCTCGTCTTTCCAGGCATTTTAGCCTTTCCATTTTCATGTTTTTAAATTTGTTAGGCTGCAGTGCTATGGCTGTTTGGATGGAACAAAGGCCAGCAGCTCCCAGCATTCCTCAGCCAGCATAGATGGGAGTTGTAGTCCTTTTTTTCCTTCATAAAGTTGCCTAGGATTGCATCCTTACTGCTTTTAAAATCTCTGCACTACTTGTAGGTTCCATTTGATTATTATTTTTATCTTACACCGTTGATAAACCCTTACACTGCATTCTATCGCGTTGTAATTGATGGCTATAATTGTTGTGAACTACCCAGAGAGATTTGACTATTGCGCAGTACAAAATGAAATAAATAAAATCAAATAATATTGTGGGATGCGCAATTGGGAACTGGAATGACTGGTTGACGCAGCTGTTCATTCCCATATTTTGCTCAGAGGAGAGTGAAGACAGAAAGAAGAAAGCGATTGGATCATTATCAGTTATGGGGCAGGTGGGTTTTGTCGGTGTTGCAGTTCCTGTGGTACATTCTTATTACATAACATGCATATCCCCCGTTTTTCCTCTTGTGAAGAAGCCAAGGCAGCTTACCTAACTCCATGCTGTTTCCCCTTCCATTTTGGATCTGGAGTATTATTATTATTATTATTACTGTTATAACATTTCTATGCCGCCCCTTGCCGAAGCCTGGGGGCGGCTTACAACACAATAAGATACATTGAAATACAATAGAACATAATAAATTACCACTAAATACAAAAATACAAAAAATACACTGAGATACAATAACATAAAATTAAAATTAACAGTATAAAATAAGTAAATAAAGAATATAGGAGGAGAAAAGAGAAGGAGGAAAAAGATGTTGCCCTGGCCAGATCATATATTTTACCAGTAATTACCAGGCAGTGGTTTTCTGCAGGTGCTAATCACAACAGATCTTGTAACCACAACCCAGTGTGGTGTAGTGCTTAAGGGTGTGAGGCTGGGACCCAGGAGATCCACATTTCAGCCCCTGCTCAGCCATGAAGCTGCTTGGGTGACTTTGGGCCAGTCACAGATGCTCAGCCTGTCCTACCGCACAGGGCCGTTGTTGTGAGGATAGAACTATGAGGAAAACTTTGCATATTGACTACCACAGTTCCTTGCAGGAGGAAGAAAGGTGAGGTATAAATGCAGCAGGGTTAATAGTAATAACCCTACGAGGAGTCCAGACACGCAGGCAGTGGTGTGTGTGGCTGTTCACCTGTGCATATATGTTTCTCTGTGTGTCCGAAGACTTGCCAGATTTATTGGTCATGGCATAACAAGCTGGCAAAGGGCAAAATGGCAGCAGGTTTGGCACTTCTGAGTTGTGGTGTTCCAGCAGCTATGGGGTGAGGGGTACCCCAGGATTTCTTGGTGCCCCCACACTGTTCTACCATCTCTATGAATCTTCTGGATGAGGGCATCAAATAGACTGATGCTACCCAGGTCTATCTACCATATATATATATACCCTCATGTAAGGCAACTCTTGTATAAGACGAGGTCAATATTTTGGACTGTTTTCATGGGTTCTCTTATATATGGTAATAACATGTGGCCAAGGGATCAGAAACTATGTTTTAGAAAAGTTCCATATATATTGGCATATAAGGCAAAAAAAAATAACATGTGGAACAAGCAACCAGAAATACCAATTATATTGGCTTATAAGGTGAGGTAATAACATATGGAACAAGCGACCAGGAAGTATGTTTCAGAAAAAACCCCGTATATATCAGTGTATAAGGCAACTCGTGTATAAGACAAGGTTAATATTTTGGGCTCTTTATATATGTCAGACATAAGACAACTCCCAATTTTTGCTTTGCTATTTTTGGTCTCATGGATCATCTTATTTTTCTATACCGCTGTATATGTTTTTTTTTTTTTTAAGCAGGACCCCATGGAGCTGTGCAGGTCCTGGATCAATGTAGATGCTGCCATGGGCTGGATGAAGGCCAGTAAACTGAAGCTGAATGCAGAGGAGATGGGCAATTCCTACGTTAGTGGAGCCCCTTATTCAGTGCAGCTTTTCTTTTAAACTTTATGGGAGCCATCCATGGTGGTAAACCCACTTCCCAGAATAGGTTCAGCACCATGGATCACTTATGAAACTCACAAGAAAAGCTGCAATGGATGAGGAGTCACTGTTTCTATTGGCCGAATCACACCAAGATGCAAGCTTTGTGGATTGCTCTGGAGCAGGAGTCAGCAACCATAAACACTCAAGGAGCCATTTGGACCCCTTTCCCACAGCTAAGAAAACACCAGGAGCCACAAAACCCTTTTGACATCTAAAATGAAGATAACACTGCATATATCTGCATATTTTTACCTTTATGCTATGTAGAAAAAACTAGTGTGTTGCATTTATTAAATCAGTGAAAGATTCTTTTATATAATCTCCATCTGTGAACTGCTTCCCGTGCCTGACTTATTTCCTGAGCGGCCACAAACCTAGCATATGTAGTTGAATTTGCAGACTTAATCCACTTCTTGAAATGATTTTTGCTCAGATCAACCTTCCGCATCAGTCCCGAAATGGCTTTTTCTCTCTCATCTCCATCCAGATATTTTTCAGCAAAGGCTGTGTGTTTATTCTGGAAATGTCTTGCAACATTCGACTTTTTGTTGCTTGCCAGTTTCTCACCACATATCGAGCATACTGGTAAACCAGTCTCGTCAGCAGTGAAAGCCAGTGAATCTGCCCACGTACCATTAAATGTTCTGTTTTCTCCTAAAACTTTTCTTTTCTTGGATTTATCCATGGTTGGCCTTCCGGGGGTTGAAAAGCTCAATAAATCGCATGCTGGCGGGTGTCGCACGTTGGCGGTTTTGACACATATTTTGAGCGACAGCCGCAGCAGAGGGATGAAAGAGCCACATGCGGCTCCAGAGCCATGAGTTGCTGACCCCTGCTCTGGGGAATGATGGGAAAGCAACTTATGCTGAACAGACTAGCACCCTCCCTGCAGCAGCAGGTATGTTGGCTGGACATACATATGGTGGGCATGTCATGAGCAGAGCCGGCTGGAGCTGGGGGTCAGACTAGATGGCCCAGGAGACCCCTTCTGACTCACTCTGTTTCTATGTAGCTTGGAAGTATTCCTAGATTTAGTTTTGTCAGCAGAGGCTCAGGCAATGTCAGAGTGATTTTTATCTCACTTCAGTTGGCCTTCCCCCTATGCCTGTCCTGGACTGTGATTGCTCAGCTCCAGTGATCTCCAACAATGGTGACTTCTTGTTTGGATTACTGCAATCCTCTTGACCTGGGGCTGCCCTTGAAGATGACATGGAAGCAACAGCTCTAGCAGATATTCCTATCAGGGTTACTGTCAATGACAGAACTCAGGGTTAAAGGCAAAGGGAAAGGTTTTCCCTTGACATTAAAGTCCAGCCATTCCTGACTCTAGGGGGCGGTGCTCATCTCTGTTTCCTAGCCGAGGGAGCCAGCGTTTGTCCGCAGACAGTCTCCGTGGTCATGCGGCCGGCATGACTAAACACCGCAGTACGTGGAGCACTTTTACCTGCCCACCGAAGGGGTGCCTTTTTATCTACCTGCCTTTGCATGCTTTCGAACTGCAGGGTTGGCAGGAGCTGGGGCGGAGCAACAGGAGCTCACCCCATTGTGCAGATTTGAACCGGCAACCTTTCGATCAACCAGCCCAGCAGTTTAAGCCACTGTGCCACCTGCATCCCCAGTTAGGGCTAGAACTGTACATTAAATGGAGTTGTGAGGCAGGGCTTTCTTAGTTGTGGCACCCTAATTATGGACTGCCTTTCCTGCAGAGGCTCAGCTGGCATCAGCTTATTAAACAGCCGGTATTCACCCAAACTGCTGGGGTGTGACTGACTTGAGCTTGGTTTCAGTTTCATTGGTTGGGTTATTAAAGCTGATCTAACGATATTTCAACAAATCAACATCATTAAGCTGACATTTTCACCCATGTCTGTGTGGGTGATGGCAAGTGATCTTCATGATAGTAACCATCAATCTTTGGGGCCCCAAAACTGGAACTCTGCCTGGGTGCAATTGTAAGGGTCTTCAAATCACCCCCTAAACAGCTATCAATAAGAACGAGGCAATGTTGACATGGGTAAAATGTGTTTAATGTGCATCACTTTTGAAGCTCTTTCAGTAACATCCTTGAGCTTCATAATGCTGTTTTTTGCATCCTCTGCCAGCTGCAAAGATCTTTCCTTGATGATGCTTCACCAGGATCAGTTCTGAGCAGAAACGTAAGAGCCGAACCTTACCGAGAACACAAGGTTTGCTGCTGCAACAAAGGATTTGAAATGACCATCATGCAGTAACACTTGGCTACAATATGGAGTCTCCCTGGCTTTCACAAGACCTTGGTTAAAAGAAGAGCAAGAGAAAGTCCCACTTCTCTACAATACAGGCTTTTCAAATTTTATTTGTGACGTACATTTTTACAGTGGAGCACTAGCAGGAACTTTTTGAATATGTCTATTTTGTTTCTCAGCTATGTTTGTGAATTCTTTAAAAAAACTTTGCAAATTCAAAGCACTGATGACACAAAATTTGTTAACATATTTATCCTCTATGTGAATGCTGTGTGAAATAAGCTTTGTGCTTTGTTAAAAGCTCTTTCCACTTGTATATGATTTTATTTATATAATTTCTCCCATGTGGGTCTTTTGATGGGAAATAAGAGAGTCACCTCGAGAGAAGCACCTACCACACACTGAGCATTTATATGGTTTCTCCCCTGTGTGGATTCTTTGATGGGAAGTAAGGTTACTGCTCTGACTAAAGCTCTTTCCACATTCCAAGCAGTTATATGGTTTCTCCCCAGTGTGGGTTCTTTGATGTAAAGTAAGATGTGCACTCCGACTAAAACTCTTTCCACACTCCAGGCACTCATATGGCTTCTCTCCCGTATGCATTCTTAGGTGTGAAGTGAGGTTTCCACTGAAATTAAAACTCTTCCCACATGCCAGGCATTTATAGGGCTTCTCTCCTGTGTGAATTCTTTGATGTGAAATAAGATGTTTGCTACAGCTGAAGCTTTTTTCACACTCTAAACATTTATATAGTATCTTTCCTGTGTGAACTCTTTGATGTCTAGTAAGGTGTGTGCTCCGATTAAAGCTCTTTCCACACTCTGAACATTTGTGTGGTCGCTCACTTGTGTGCTTTATCCGTCTGTGTTGCATTAGCTTCGCTTGATCACAAAAGCTCTTGCTGCAGCCTGAACATTTATATAGTTTCTCCGCTATGTGGATTCTTTTATGTGAAATAAGGCGTGTGCTTCGGTAGAAGCCTTTCCCACACTCTGAGCATTTATATGGCTTCTCCCCTCTGTGAAGTCTTTGATGCAAAATAAGGTAATCACCCCGACTAAAGCTCTTTCCACACTCAAAGCATCTAAAGGGTTTCTCCCCTGTGTGGGTTCTTTGATGTCTGTTAAGATCTGATTTACAGCCAAAGTTCTTCCCACACACAAGGCATTTGTTGCCACAAGTCTCTTCCACCTCTGGGTGTGCCAGTCCTTCCACAGACACCTTGACTGACTCCTCCTCATTCTCAGACTTGTACGCATTTTCTTCTGGAATAAAGAAAAAAGTTTTGTAACCCTTGAAAGATGGTGATGCAGGCCCTGCTTTCAGTAGAGGTGCTAAGCTCCAAAAACCTCTCTTATGATCCAAAATAAAGGGAGCACTGGAGAGGTAGCCCTTCACTTCACATCTTGCCTGCTTTTGTTTCTGTTTAATTTGTAAAAATCTTAAGAATTTGAAATAAAATGGAAATCTTGTCAGGGAACTGGATGAGAGTCGAGAGAGGTATCTGTGGGTACCCTGCTGCTCCACACTGGAGGCCCCAGCACAAGGGGGCACCTCCTGAAGATTTTGGGTAAGAATCATGTGAGAATTAACTTTATTCAGTCTCCAAAGGCCCTCTGGGCAGAATCATAGAATAGTCGAATTGGAAGGGGCCATGAAGGCCATCGGGTCCAACCCACTGCTGTTCCAGGACACCAAGTTGCACCATCCCACTCAGATGGCTGTCCAGTTTCTTTCTGAATGTCTTTAGTGTGGGAGAGCCCCCCACCTCTCTAGGCAGTTTCTGGCCCCAGAAACAGTAGCACCCATAGCTGATTTCAACCCAGAAAGGCATCTCAAAGCATCCAAGAACTTCTTACCAATCTGGCTGGCATCTCCCTCCTCTTCCTCCTGCTTGATTATCACGCACAAAACCTCTGGTTCCAAGTCAGGCGGAGCTTGGCTTGCATCCAAGAGAATTGCAGGTGCTACCTCCAGGGTCACCTGGAACCACAGAGAGGGCCGAAATCAGAAGAAAGCAACGGGGCTAGCGGGGAAGACACAAGGCTGTGAGAGGATGGAGAGAAAATGTGAAGCTGCTCTCTGCGGAGATCTCTCTTCCCCTCTCAGACATGCGCACCCTCTTGTCCGCCAGATGCTTCCTGATTTTTCTTAAAAAAAACCTGATCCCATAATACCGCAGGCTTTTCCTATCCCCTGCACCCCTCTATTTTGTGGCAACATTTTTGCAGTCTAAAAATGTAATTACCATGCAATTTAGGACACAATCCGATGCATGTTTAGGGGGGAAAAGTCCAACAACACCTGAATGAGGCATCTGTGGGATTGTGGGAACCTGTTTGTTTAAAGATACCCTAGGATGGCACCTTAAGATTGTCTAGAAGATTACTTGAAAATGGAAAGCAGTAGAACATTTTTCTGCTGAAAGATGCAAAGGATGGTGCCTTAAAATTATTTAAGTGATGTTTCATAATTATTTTAGACCACAAGAGCATTACAGAACAATAGAGGAAAAGAGGAGGTAGAAGAAAAGAACGAGAAAAGTCTGCACTACGATAGGATCATATTAATTTAATCAATTAATTAATTAAGAGCTTTTCTGCCCCATCCACCACTAGCATCTTGGGATGGCTTATAATAAAAACAAGTAGAATAAAACAGAATACCACAGCATCCAACAATTGAAATACTAAAACCCCAGTTAAAATCAATTAAACATTAAAATGACAGGAAAAGCAGTTTTGCCAGACACCAAAAAAACTCCCCCATTATTTAAAATGAACATTGTTTTTCGTAAGACCAAGGTGTTTAGCAATTAAAGAGTATTTTTTAAAGAAAGGATATCAAAAGCAATAAATAGAAGAAGCTGTGATTGGGCGTAAACACATCAAATGTGCCAAAAGCCTGAACTGAAGCAACCTCCTTTGTGGTCTCAATTTTTAATTACAATTGCTTAAATGATTGCAATATTTTTCCTATGCATATGTACGTCCTGACAGAGACGTCCCGACAGAGCCCTGCGAATCGCTGGTGGGCCGTGCTGCTACTGGCCCCTTGTTGGTCTGGCACTCAGGTAACACTCGGGGAGACTCAGCCCGTCTTGCCCTGACGCGCCACTGCTGGGACCGGAGATCGCAAACGCTGGCCTGCCACGTACTCTCAAACCCCACAAATCAATCTCACCTGCTCGCCCTCTCGCTCGGCCTCCCCTTGCCCTAGCAGGAATTCCTCTGCAGCAGCCACGGCCTGGGAGCAGCTCTGTGGCCCAGCCGCCCTCACCCAGCTCCGTATCTCTGGCGGCAGGACGGCCAGGAACTGCTCCAGGACCAGCAGATCGAGAATCTGCTCCGTGGAGCGCCGCTCGGCCCTCAGCCACCGGCGGCACAGCTCCCGGAGTCTCCAAGAAGCCCCCCTTGGCCCCTCGGCTTCCCGATAGCAGAAATGCCTGAAGCGCAGGCGGTTCTCCTCTCTGAGGATGGCGTCCTCTCGCAAAATGGCCTCCAGCACCTTCCCATAATCCTCCCTGTCTCCGGCCTCCAGGCTCCGAAAGGCCTGCTCGGCTTCTCCGCTGAAGGCTGGCAGGAGCCGGGCTGCCCACTCTTCTCTGGGCCACCGGCAGGCCTTGGCCACTTGCTCGAAGGAGGCCAGGAAGGCCTCGGCATCATCCCACGGGGTGGGCTCCTCCGGCCACGGTGGCATCTCCGAGCTTGCGCAAGAGGGCTCCGCCATCTTCAGGAACCCCTGCCATTCAAAGCAAACATTTTAATTCCTATGGCCAATGACAAAGACTGGGCAAAGAAAACGATTTTAAGAGGCAAAAGAAGACACAATACCGTGCCCCCCACAGAGCAAGAGCTACTGAGCCATTCGCAAGCATCACAATCAGTTGTCTCACCTGCTTTTCCTGCTCTTCAGCCTCCTGCAGCCTTAACAGGAAATCCTCAGCCAAGGCCACTGCCTGAGAACAAGTCTCTGGGCCTCGTTCCCTGACCCAGCTCTGTGTCTCCGGGGGCAGGATGGCCAGGAACTGCTCCAGGATCAGCAGCTCCAAGATCTGCTCCTTGGACTGCTGCTCCGGCTTCAGCCACCCCTGGCAAAGCTCCCGGAGACGGCTGCAAGCCCTTCTGGGCCCCTCGGCCTCTTGGTAGCAGAAGCACCTGAAGCACTGGCGGTTCTTCTCCCTGCTGTTGGCATCCCCAAGCAAGATGGCTGCCTTCACTTTCCCATAATCCTCTCGGTCTCCGGCTTCCAGGCCTCTAAAGATCTTCTTGGCTTCTCCAGTGAGGGCGGGTTGGAGCCGGGCCGCCCACTCTTCCCTGGGCCACCGGCAGGCCTTGGCCACCTGCTCGAAGGAGGCCAGGAAGGCCTTGGCGTCATCCCACGGGGTGGGCTCTTCCGGTAACTGAGGCTCCATCAGCAAGCCCCGAAGTGGCCCCTCACCCGGTTCGCGTCTGACTTGCCCACCTGCAATCCGTTGTAGCCATGCCAGCGTCGCTCCAGTTGGACAGACATCGGGTGCTTTTCCTGTTTCCTCCGACGCCTCTGGAAAGGTGAGGCCTGTGGGATCTTGATTCCCCATTTTCATCTTTGGGTCACTTTGCGAAAGTAAAGTTGTACTCACATTACAGACACGTTCTCATCTAAATCCAAACTAGTCATATGGTTGGGCATCTGAGCTTCTTTTCTCAGGCTTGAAAAGAGCAGAGACACTTAAAAAATAGAGGGAACAATCACAAGTAAATCACAAGTAAATCTCTGTTATAACAGGCACCATTTACTTTTTAGAAATATATGAACATTAGATGGAAAACATCTTTTTCTGCACAGTGTCCTCTTTTATAAATGAGTAATTTTACATGTTGATAAAAAAAGTTTTGATTCCCCCAACTTTAATAATCATTTATATGAATCTAGTCTTTCTTTTGTTCTTTCTTTGTTTAAAGGTCACCCATTCGCATCATGCTCTCTGGGCAACCATTAGAATAAAATTACCAACAGGTAATATAAATAATACAATTAAAATACAACATATAAAACAACATATAAAAGGGTTAATTTTTTTTAAAATTTATATGAATCTCGTCTTTATCACTCCATCTTGTGCTACACACACAGAGACCAACTAAAGTATTAGTACAATCCTGTAGATATTGTAAAGACCCACTGAATACAGTAGAGCTTACTTTCAAGTAGACACGTGAAAGCCAGCTCCTCTGAGTTCAATGGAACGTAATCCCAGGCAAGAAAATACAGGATTGAAGCCAAAGTCCCGGTTTGGAAGATCACTGCAGTCCACCATACCTTAGCATGGGTCTGGGACTCAGCCGATCTGGGTTCGAGTCCCCGCTCGGCCATGGAACCAACTGGGTGACCTTGGGCCAGTGGCAGACTCTCAGCCCAACCTACCCCACAGGGTTGTTGTTGTGGGGATGAGATGGAAGAGGAGAATGATGTAAGCTGCCTTGAGCCCCTTGTAGGAAAAAGGCAGGATTTACATTGAAAAATAAATAAATAAATAATTTTAAGCCCTGGTAGGTTGCAGTGTGTCGTGGGCAAAATCTGAATATTCAAGCTGCAATCGTGGTTTGTCATATCATCTGAACAACCCTTTGTAGAACCCTAGGACAGGTGACGCGACAAGCCATGCTTGCAGTGTGAATGTTCAAAGTGTTCATCTGCATGTGCTGCAGCCCATCCTGGTTTAAATCAACCAGGACAGGCTGTTTGATCATGCAGACTGGCCCTCAGTAGGCTGGTACATTGGTTTGCTAGCTTAGGGTGCAAGTCTGTTGCTCCAGTTGCTGGAGTGAAACACGCTCCAGGTGTTTTCTCCCAAGGGCTCTTTCTGACTGCCTGGATAAAGTGCCAGGAAAGGGGGGGGGGGGCTGGGGTGCCTATAGAAATTGACCCCAGCTCCCTTCACTCCCAGTATGCCCCCCTTTTTTTCCTCTGCCTTGTTTCTCTGTTCTCAGCTGTCAATCTGAGCAGTGACCCCATTGCTGGGCTTCTGAAGAATCCTATAGCTACCAGATGGACTCAAGAACATCTAGGGATTTGCCCTTAATGTCTAAAATAAAGTGATCTTCAGGTTACACATACACCAAGCAAGATTTTTACATCATGGGAAGGCAAGACTCACTGGAGAAAGTAAACATGCTAAGCGAAGTTGAAGGCTGAAGTAGAAAAGGAAGGCCAAACATGAGATGGAGCAATTCCATAAAGGAAATCACAGCCTTGAACTTAGAAGATCTGAGCAAGGCTGTTGTGGGCAGGATATTTTGGTGGGGTTTCACAAGCTGGAGACCATTTCATGGCATGTAATGAGGATGTTTTCAAAGGCACATTGTTGGTCGAGAAACTGCTCGTGGGAAAATGTCAGGATGAAATTATTCCTTTCTAGGTGTTGAATTGGAATTTCATTTCTGTATTTTGATGAAAGTGTTATGATTTCACACATGTGCTTTTTTCCCTAGGGCATTCAGGCTTCTTTATGCGGGGTCAGATCCAGATTGGGTCCTACGTAGAGCAGGCCTGTTGAAACCAATGGACTTATTTTAGCTGTGAATTGTTTGTCCTGATCTCCTCCAAGCAACTTCCACTGCTTCTTGCTCCTCACCTCTTACCACATTCCCCTGCTCATCCACTGCTATGATTTCACTGGTTTCTCCCTTTCCTGGTGGGGCAGCCACGGTCTGGAATGTGAGCAAAGAGCTAGTAAAATACCTGCTGGTGTTATAGATTCCTCTTCAGCCGGCCAATCCAGGTGGCTCAAGTAAGTGAGACAATCCACATTTCTGGAGGAGAGATCAAGGAAGCCAGCAGGGCCAGACAGACAGATAGTGCAAGTTGGGATGAGTGAGGAGGGGGAAGAGAACCAGGGCTGGCTGGCTGGGAAGGTATTGTCTCTACCCACACAGGGTCAGGTATCTCAGAGCAAGTACTTGATACGATGCAATCCATACAATTTGTTCTTTTTGGACAAGGGGTATCGCAAACTTTGAAAAAGAAAAAGCGATCGAGGAATCAATGGAAGAAGTGATTAGCCCTGACAAGAACTGGGGCTAAAGGAACATTTGGGAGGGGTCTCATGTTTTGAAAGAGTTTAAATCATTGCAGGGCACGATCCCACGTCTGTTTGGGGCAAAACAACCCGCCCTACAATTCCGGTTGGCTGGGAACTTTCTGGCCCATTTTGTGATAATGCTCCCCGTCGTTCCTCAGCTCCTACGGAGTTAGCATCGCTTTGCCTGAACTGCGAGGAGGCAAATGGGAAAAATCCAGCATGGAGCCAGAATCACAAGAAATCTGGGGCGGAAAGTAAAGGAATGAGGGGGAGGGGGCCGCCTCCACGATTCCCTCCCATCCCACAATTTCATGCACCCCTCCCGCTGCTTTCTCCTTCCTTCACCTGGTGCCCCCCCCCAAAAAAACCCCCATCCTCCGCTCACCTCTCCCTCGTTGGAAGCCGCGTTCTTCCTCCTTTTCCGCACTGTAGGGAAAGACATCGCGAAGAGACATTCCCCCCACACCACGAACAGGAAAAGACCCTCCCCGTTTTTGTCCTCTCCGTTTGTCTGCAGCCTTTTCTAGGAAGCAAAGCTCGGTTGCTTTAACCCCTTTTTCAGGATTGCATCCAGGCAGTCAGATCCGAGGAATATTTTTGCAGCCTGAACGGGGGAGGATGCGGAGCGGGGCGGGCCGTGGGAAAACTTACAAAAGCTTGCCGTGCCTGCACCCTGTTCGTAGGATATTTTTTGAAGGGATCATTTTAAAGAGCGCCCCAGGGCCGTCGCGGCGGCAGGGGGCGAGGGGGCTACGATGTTAACAGGATCAAAAGGGTTTCCCATAGGATCGAAGGGAGAGCGATTAGGAAAAGGAAAGCAGAGGCCATCGGGAAATAAATGGAAGAAGTGGTGGCGTCCGGATGGGCTACATGCTCCGATAAGCTTAGTTCAAAGCCTTCTGCTCTAAAATGGTCGTGAAAAGTTGAGTCTTATGCGAGTTTGGCCAGAAAAAGGGGGACAAACCTCCACACGGCCCCTGTCCGCTGTTCTGATGAACGCAGTTTAGTGCGCCATGATATTTATCATTTTCATCATCATCATCATCAGTGGTCTTGTGATCAGGGTAGATAAAATCAATGATTGTTTAAAAAATCGGATTTCTAAAATTTAAATTGGATTTTTTAAATAAAATGCTTTCTGAGGAAAACTATCTAAATATAGTTTTCTGCTTTAGATGCTTTATAGTCCAAGGATTACTCATCATGAAACTAGGATTAGTTTTTAACTACGTAGCATGAGGCTGTCTATTCATGCAATGTTTAAATTTTTTGGTAAGTGAATCCCATTAACCCATTCACAATGTCATGCTCTTTCAGAGGTTTCTGTAAGACAATTGGGCAATTTTTCTATCTGGTAGCTATTATCACAGATATTATTGTGATTTGAATTGTGATTTAGATTGATTTGATTTAAATCAAAAGCACCCTAGTTGTGATGTGCTGTCAAGTCATCTCCGATTTATGGCACTCTCATGAATGAGTGCCCTCCGAAATATCCCATCCATGGCAGCCCAGCTCAGCAATTCCAAGGCTGCGGCCTCCTTGATAAGTTTGATCTGTCTCATCCCAGGCCTTCCTTTTCTTGTCCTGAATTCCACTTTCCCAAGGAGTCCTGCCTTCCCATGCTGTGTCTGAAGCAGAACTATTGAGTTGCTGCTATGTGCTGTCCAGTTGTCTCTGACTTATTGTCGTTATTACATTGCATTTGGTATTACAGATATTATTTTATCGCATTGCAATTGTATCCTGCCTTTGGATTCTTCCAAGAAACCCAAGGCATCTGGAGTAGTTCCATTTTATTCTCACAACAACAACCCTGTGAGGTTGGCCACTGGCCCAAAGCCACCCAGTGAAGCTTCCTGGTTGAGTAGCAACTACAACGCGAGTCTCTCAAGTTCCCCATCCAATATTCTAACCACTACATTACACCAGCTCTCAATGAGCACATTCTAAAGTCACCTGTCCTTGACAGGCTGCGGCTTCCTTTAAGGAGCCAGTCCATCTCGTATTTGGCCTCCCTTTTCTTCTTCTGCCTGCGACTTTCCCTAGCATGATTGTCTTCTCCAGGGAGTCTTGCTTTCCCATATGACAGCCTCAGTTTTGCCATTTTTGCTTCTTGGAAAAGATTTGGCCTGATTTGATCTACGACGCACTCGTTCATCTTTCTGTTGGTTCTGGGAATTTACAAAGCTCTCCTCCAGCACCATGTTTCAAGGGCATCCATTTTCTTCCGCTTGCTTTCTTCACTGCTCAGCTTCTTCACAATAGCATGGATGAGTCTCAGTCTCCAATGAAACATCCTTAGACTTGATTATTTTTTCTAGTTGTTTCATGGCTGCCTTGCCACATCACGGTCTCCCTCAAACGTCTTGGCTGCCGTCTCCCTTTGAATTGATGACTGAGCCAGTAAAAAGGGGAAAGAAATCCTACCACTCCTGGCTGGGCCATACTGGGTTAAGGTAACCTTAAAGAGCCATCCTATGTATGTTTACACAGGATAAAAAAGCCCCACATCTCTCAGCATGCCTGAGCCAGATCTAGAAACTTTTTTGTTCTGGCTAAACTTGCATTGGATGCCACCCTAAACTGAATGTATAGAAAGAGCTGCCTGGGGGCATGCTGGCTGTTCTTAAACATTTTCTGTCTAAACATTCCTAGAATTGCACCCTAAATTTTAGACACTCTATTTTCATTTATTTTGCATCATTTCTGTACCACTTCACATCCAGACAGACTCTGGAGCAGGGATCAGTATAAGGTTAAAATCTGTAGGAGCTACACCACACTATGAATCCAAGACAACATGCTGCCATGATTGGGATCTGATATGTCGTTATTATAATATTTCAGAAACTCCAAAGTTAGCTAACAAACATGGAAACAGAAGTTGGGAAACAAGTTGCCATATCAAGTGGGGTTTCCACACTTGCTGGCTGGAGAAAGCTGCAAATTATAGGACTTTTTCTATCTTAATGTGCATAAGAGTCATTTATGGGTCATTTAGCTAATTTTGACCTGCTTTGGTTGTTGTTATAGCAATAAAGTGGGGGGCATTGTAATAAGAAGAAAATTCTTTTTTAAAAACCCTGAATAAGATTGTTGTGAGAGCAAAACAGAGAGGCACAGGAAGCTGCCCTGAGGTCCTTGCAGGGGAAAAAAAGCAGGATGTAAATAAATGCAGAAATGCTAATACATTAGAAGCAGTATTGGAAACATTTGTTCCATGTTCCGGTTTAAGGGGTTTATATTAGAATTGCTGATAATGCAGAAACAGGTTTGTATAGAAGCTCATGCATCAGTCATGGCTCATGTACTTCATCTGGCCAGGGCGACTTTCCTTTCCTTTCCTTTCCTTTCCTTTCCTTTCCTTTCCTTTCCTTCTTTTCTTTTATAACTTCTTTTATATCGTTTATATTTTTATTTATTTATTTTATATTATTAATTTTAATTTTATATTGTTATTTTTGTATTGTATTGTATTTTATTGTGTTGTAAGCTGCCCCGAGGCTTCGGCAAGGGGCGGCATAGAAATGTTCTAATAATAATAATAATAATAATAATAATAATAATAATACTCTGCAGCCACTCCACAGCCACCGTTTTGTGCCTGGCTTGGCTGAGCGTCCTCAAGATTTTACTAGAACACGAAGAGTTGCAACCAGAAATGCCGGACATCCTCCGCCCTCCCATTCAGTGGTGCTTCTGCAGGACCACAAGACGCAAGAGCCCAGTCTGGGGAGAGGGGAGAATGTCAGTTCCTCACACAACAGCCTCTGCCACTCCACATACAAAAAGCAGCTGAATTGTACTGCAATACAATTCCATGTTACGAATTAAGATGTTGCTTCTAATCAGATTTTACTGTGAGCTGGCCAAATGCCATTTCCCTTGGGATGGAAATTATGTTTGTTTGTTTGTTTGTTTGTGCACTATTGTAGCCAGATATGAGCTCTTGTAGTGGCATATAAATCCATTCAATAGACAAACAAATCACTTATAGAGCCCTGTGGGCTAATGTGGCGGTATATTTATTACTTAAACAACTAAATAATATTCTAGCTGGCCTTTTTCCTCCAAGGAACTCAAGGCATTTTATCCATCCTCCTCTTGTTATCCTCACAACCACCATGTGAGGTAGGCTAGGCTGAGAGTCTAACAAGAAATCTCCCAAGTCCCAGTCCAGTACAAACCACTATTACCATACTGCTTGTCCTATAAGGAAATGCTGGAAGTGGGACACCTGAATGCAGCCGGGTAGCTTAGGGGGCAGAGGGCAAGTGGCCATGCCGCCCACAGCTCTCTCCTCCAACACCTTGCGGCTTCCTCCCAGGGCCTGCCCCCTGAAGCCACCCCTTCGTTCGGATATAACCAGTCCCCTGCCGAGATCTCCCATCGTGTGCTCGGATGGTGCCATTTTGGCTCCGTGATGTTTGGCACTCACAGAAGCTACAAGTAGCCATCAGGGTGCGAACAGGGGGCCCACGGGCCACAAGCAGCCTGCCAAAAACTCCCTGCACCCAGTGCTGGAAAAAATCGAAACTCTACTGCTTAGAGTGTTCCGTGAAAGGCAGTCCTTTCAGGATCTGTAACACACTGCAGATAAAGAAGTGTTGAATTGTTCGTCCACGTGCTTGTACAGGATAGTCTTTCCAGGTTTCCGATCTCTGCAGACGTCAGAGTGGCTAGGCCTGTTGCTACTTCTCAGCACCTCGACAGAGTCAGGTTGGGCTGGGATGTGTCAGGATAAGATGCAGTAATATTTGATAGAATGTGTATTGTTATATCGCTTTCGTTCTGGACTTGGTAAATAGATTTTCCACATTTCTGGACAGAAACATAGAAACAGAGTCAGAAGGGGCCTCCCGGGCCATCTAGTCTGACCCCCAGCTCCATCCGGCTCTGCTCATGACATGCCTACCATGTTTAGCAACTGTTCTTCCCCACCATAAAAAGTCCATCAATTTGCAAAATATTAACAGATCATCATTTTTCTCCAGTTAAGGATAGATTTTATTGAACTTGGGTTTCAGCACATGTCTGGAAGACATCTACATATTCCTGAAAGAAAGATTACACATGTGTAGAGAAGGCTGCATAGAGGATTTCTTCTATTTCCTACTGTTCTGGACTATACAATTCTTCCAGAACAAAATTTGTATTTCATTATGTGTCCCAATGTATAAGGAAGCCAACCAATGATATTTGCTCTCAGATGCACACAAATCCTGTTGAATTATCACGACAGCTAAAAACTTTGAACTAGAATTGTGAAGAAGACAATAGCAGAGTGCAAAACGGATCTAATTGGATAAGCCGAGTCACGTGAATTCTGGGATTTTTAAAATGAAAGTTGTATTTTGGTTATAGTTTTGTGCCGTATGAGAATGCAGATGCCCAAATATTAATGTTTTATACCCTCATTTTAGATATTTTACTTTCACACTGTTTGTAGTGGCCTATGGCTAGAAGCAAGATGTATTTTCAACGGATGGGGTTTTAATTTGCTAGTGTTGGCTACTAAAAACGCTCTTATTATCTCATCGTATATTGGAAAAAAATAGTTGCTTGCTTATAAATTAATAGGCTGCTGAATAACCTGACAGGGCTCTCTCAGCAGTGAACAGCAATAAAATACAGGCCAACATTACAATTCCAAGTTACAGAGGGAGGAGAGGGGAGGGGAGGGGAGAGGCAAAACCCACACCTGCTGGCACTAGAGTGAGTTCTTACAATCCCTTGGTAAAAATGGGTCTCAAATTTCCAGGGGACAGTTTTAGCCTGCCAGCAGCCCTACTTTCATTTTGGTGCCAGGCAGACCCCCTTTGCTGGCACCAGCCATTTGACCCTTGTGTGTGTGCTGGTGTGAACATGTGTGTGTGAGATAACATGATAACCTGCATTCAAGGGCTGAGTGTGAGTTATCATTGAACTAATCAAAGCAGAAGATACTAGGCTAAACAGGACTAGTAAACCGCCCAGAGAGCCAGTGTGGTGCAGTGCTTAAAAGCGCTGAACTGGGACTTAAGAGATCCGAGCCTGCGTCTCCGTTGAGCCTTGGCGCTCACCAGGTGACTATGGGCCAGTTGCGGACTCTCAGCCCAACCTACCTTGCAGGATTGTTGTTGTGAGGAAAAATGAGAGAGGAGACCTATGAAAGCCTCTTTGAGTTCCTTGAAGGGAAAAAAGGTGGGATATAAATAGAATCAACATTAAAATAAATACGGGGTACTTTAAAAACAAAAATAGCAACGACAGCACGATTATCATAATGGTGTTACCAAGTATTTGCAACGCCCTCCTCCGGCATTCAAAACACAGGGCTGAAGGAGAGCTTTGTGACGACCCTGGACCAACACAAAGACAACATGTGGGTCCTAGATCAAACCAAGCCAGAGCCTTGCCTAGAAGCAAAACGGACACACCTGAGGCACATCATGAGAAGGAAAGACTCCTGGGAGAAGATCATCACGCAGGGGAAAGTCAAAGGCAGAAGAGGAAGCAGAAGAGCGAAAAAGAGGCAGGCCGACATTCATGGGGTCACCCTAAGTTGAAGATGACTTGACAGTGCATAACAAAGACCACCACCAGATATTAGGTAACATGTGTTCATCATTACATGTGCACAGATATGTTGATAGGAAAGCTTCCCATACATCAAACATGCATACTGCTTCCTTTTTATTTTATGTCATAGGCTTATTTAATGCCTCTCCCATCTTCCAGCCCAAACATACGATGAAATTGAAATGTTCAAAGAAACTGTGCAAGCAAGAAGCCGCAAATCTTAATCAGATGATTGAGGAGAAAACGAGCAGCCACCGAGAAGGCCTTTTTTCCTGCAACCAATTCCCAAGTCATTACAAATATGGAGCACGTATGCAGATTCTCATATGGATGAACACTTCACATGAGTTCTTTCATGCCTAAGAAGGTTTGTACTCTGACTGAAGCTCTTTCCACACTGAAAACATTTATATGGTTTCTCCCCTGTGTGTATTCTTATGCTTAATAAGGCTTGACTGATCGCAAAAGCTTTTTATGCAGTCTGAGCAGCTGTATGGTTGCTCCCCTGTGTGGATTCTTTGATGAGAAGCAAGGCTTCTATTTGATTTAAGCTCTTTCCACAGTCGGAACATTTATATGGTTTTTCTCTTTGTGTAGTGTTTTATATTCAGTACGATTTCTGCTCCAATTGAAGCTCTTCCCAGCTATGATTTTATTTACTTTCTCATGTATGTGAATTCTTTTATGTGAAGTAAGACTTGTGCTTTGGATGAAGCTCTTTCCACATTCTAAGCATTTGTATGGCTTCTCCCCAGTGTGTATTCTTTGATGTGCAATTAAAGTTGTATTCCGATTAAAGCTCTTTCCACAATCTGAGCATGTGTAAGGTTTCTCCCCTGTGTGGGTCCTTTCATGCTGAAGAAGAGATGCTTTAACAGAGAACCTCTTACCACAGACTGAACAGCTATAGGGGTTCTCTCCTGTGTGTATCTTTTGGTGTGATGTAAGGTGTGAGCTCTGAAAGAAACTCTTTTCACAGTCCAAACATTTGTAAGGTCTTTCTCCTGTGTGAATCCTTTGATGTGAAATAAGGTATGTTTTCCTACTAAAGCCACTTCCACATTCTGGGCATTTATATGGTTTCTCCCCTGTGTGCATTCTTTGATGCGTAGTAAGGTGTGTGTTCTGACTGAAGCTCTTTCCGCATATCAAACAATGATAAGGTTTCTCCCCTGTGTGGACCCGCTTATGTTTAATGAGACCTGACTGATCACAGAAGGTCTTGTTACAGTCAGAACACTTATATGGTCTCTCACCTGTGTGAATTCTTTGATGCGAAGTAAGGTTTGTGCTCCAGTTGAAGCTCTTTCCACACACCAAACATTTATATGGCTTTTCCCCTAAGCAGAGCATTTGAGCTTTAGTGAGGTTTCTGCTCAAAGTGAAGCTCTTCCCAAACTTGAAGCTTTTGTTTGTTTTTTCCCCTCCATGGATTCTCCGATGAGCACCGAGGCACTTGTTCCTTATATTTTCTGTTTGCTTTTCTTGTTGGAATGGGTTTCCACAGAAGTTCTCACTTTGGCAAGTGATAGCTTTACGTTTCCTCTTCTCCAGGTGGTTTTCCTCTTGCATTTTTTCCTTATGGTCCATTCTTCCAGATGATATTCCAGTCCCACCGTTCCACATATCACCTGCTGGATGAAAGAGAGGAGACCAGTAAGAAGTGAAAGCCTCAAAACATAGATATGACTGTACAATTGAAAGGAACCTCAAAATTCAGCTGGTCTGTCCTGGTGCCAAGGCAGGATTTCCTTTACTACAAGATCCTAGAGCCCTGGCCTGCACAGGAAAGGGAATGATCCAGAAAAAATAGGACCTCGTCTGTGAAAGATTATAAACAGTTGATTGAACATCAATGATAGCTCTAGACATGCACATGGTGGGCATGTCATGAGTGGAGCCGGCTGGAGCCGGGGGTCAGACCAGATGGCCCAGGAGACCCCTTCTGAGTCGCTCTGTTTCTATGTTTCTATGAACATATATTGGTAAAATACAGATTGTCAATACACAAGCAAAAGACCCGTTTACAGGCACAGGGCTCCCTGATCAAATGGATGTTGCTCCCAGCCCTTGGCATGCTTGTCGTGCTAAGCCAAAAGCCAAAGAGAGCTAAGGAGGGTATGAATGTATCTCACCTGTGTGAATTCTTTGATGTGAAGTAAGGTTTGCGCTCCAGTTGAAGCTCTTTCCACACACCAAACATTTATATGGCTTCTCCCCTAAGCAGAGCGTTTGAGCTTTAGTGAGGTTTCTGCTTCGGAGGCTGTCAGAAGCTGCCAACAGGGAATGGTGGGAGAGGGAAGAAAAGACCTGGCAGTCCTAAGGAACTGCTTGAGCAAAGGCAGGCAGGAACAGCTCGCTCTCAGGACGCAGATGAGCTGCTTCTAGTGGCTGGTAGCTGGTGCTCTCATGCTTGACGCGCTACCAGATCCCATTCTCACAGCACTAGGACCCTGACTCATCTGCAGGTATGTTAAAACTCTGGGTTGGACAGTGCATCTGAACTCAGAATTACAGTGCCTTCCAGTTATTAATCCTACTTAACACCACTTGTGAAAGAGGATCCACCAAGTGTTGGTTTTCATAGAATCACAGAAAGGTCGAGTTGGAAGGGGCCATGAAGGCCATCAGGTCCAACCCCCTGCGGTTGCAGGACACCAAGTTACACCATCCCACTCAGGTGGTTGTCCAACTTCCCCTTGAATGTCTCCAGTGTGGATGCGCCCACCACCTCTCCAGGCAGCTGCTTCCACTGTGACATTGCTGTGACAGTGAGGAAGCTTTTCCTGACATCCATCCTGAATCTGGGTTGTTGCAAATTGAACTGATTATTCTGTGTCCTGCACTCGTATCAGCAAGAAGAGATCTTGTCCTTCCTCTTGTGACTGCCCTTGAGGTACTTACAGAGGGATACCATGTCCCCCCTCAGTCTTCTCTTCTCAAGGCTGAACATGCCCACTTCTCTCAGTCTCTCCTCACAGGGCAGTGTTTCCAAACCCTGGGTCATGTTTGTTGCCCTCCTCTGGACCCTTTCTAATTTGTTCCCATCCTCTGAATGAACAGAAGGCAAATCCGCTATGGTATGCTATAATATGGCTACGGTTAGAGTGCTGGACTGGAGACATGGAAAATCCAGGTTCCAGTTCCCATTCAGCCATGAAGCTCACGGGGTGACTTTGGGCCAGCCAGACTCTCAGCCCGATCTACCTCACAGGGTTGTTGTTATGAGGCGCTATCCTAGTTGACTCAGGTTCTTCACAAGAGGAAAAAAGGTGGGATATAAATGCAAGGCAATATTGTAATGCTCATCATCCCATCACCTCTTCATTTAGCGCTTTTCCAGGCTAAATACACCCAATGCTGCCTTCTAAATGAGTGGTGGGCCCTACCAAAGCTTGGAATGTGTGGCCTTCCAGATGACGTGGGACTGCAATTTCCATCAGTCCCAGCCAGCAGGACCAACAGTGAAGGATGCTGCAGGTCCCACTTATTTAAACAATAAATGCAAACGGCGTTCGTTATGCAGAATAGCTGCAATTACTCTGCCAAGTCACCCCAGTACGGAGGACGCCACTGTTACCTGTATGAAAAGTTCCAGGACTTGATCTTCCTCCACGCGAGTAAAAAGGAAAAAGCCAAACAAAGTGCATTTCCAGGGCTTATGGGGCAGCGAAGGGATGCTTCAGCGATGCTACGTAGGGATATGCACGGGATCTCTTTGGAGGTGGGAATCTGTGAGATTCCCTGGGCTCACGTTCCCGGACTCCAGTCTGCCCTGCAGTGGCCCGGAGTCTGAGTTCCCAGGGAGCATACCCAGCCTCTGTGGCCAGGGAGCAAGCCCCACACACTGCGCAAGCAACAACTCTCTTCTGCCCCCAGTGCGGCCGCTGCCAGCCACACCAGACCCAGGGGAAGGTTGGTCACCGGGGCTCAAGGAACGGTGCCCAGTGTGACTGCGAGAAGCTCCCCTCTTCCACATAATGACCGACAAGGCCCTAAGCGGCTTGGGTCCTGGATGCCTGAAGGAGCGCCTTCTTCCCTATGTGCCGGCCTGCCCCTTGAGATCAGAGGCAGAGGCCCTCCTCCAGGAGCCCTCTTTGAAGGAAACCAGGAGGGGAACTACTCAGAGAAGGGCCTGTTCAGCAGTGGCGCCCTGACTGTGGAACACGCTCCCCAGGGAGGTTTGCTTGGCGCTGTCGCTTCATTTTTTCAGTGTCAGGCAAAGACCTTTTAATTTTCCCAATATTTTAAAAACGAACTGGTTTCATTCTTGTTTTTCTCATTATTTATTGGATGCAGTGAGTTGTTGCTATGGTTTGTTTTGTTTTTCGTTGTTTATTCTTTGTAAGCCGTCCAGAGACTTTTAGTAATGGGGCGGCACATACAAACTGTACATAAATCAATCCCTGCAGCTGCCCTCTGGGCAACCACACCTGACAGGGAAGGTTGCCGGTTGCCCAAGAGCTCCAGGCACATTCAGGGACTTCCTCTTGGCCTGCTTTGCAGGACCGGGCCTAGCACGAGAGGAAGTCCACGGATACCAGAGGGACAGATTTCAAGGAGGTTTATCCCATCCCTAGCATTGTGCGTAGTGCAACACGGAGCTGAGCCCAGCGTGCAGCCCATGCAAACAGAAAGGGAGACCCAGAGGCAAAATGCTCCAACTGAGGAGCAACCGGTAAGATGGGGGCTTTATGCGGCCTGGCAGGCAAGGATGGGCCCTTGAGGGTCAGCTGACAGAATGCTCAGGTGGGCTGGTATTCCAGCCTTGAGGATGGCCTGGAACCAGCGTGGTCCACCCACCAAACTCTCAGCAGAACTGGAGTGCGGGTGGAGCAGCTATTCTGAATAACGGAGCAGAAAGAGGCTGCCACGACCTAAACTCCTTGGAAAGCATCTTCTTTGACTTCCGTTCCCCACCAAGTACGAACCTCTGCCCAAAACAAGGCTGCAATCTAAACTGGTTGAGTACCAATCAAATGCTCATAGGAGCTCCAGCCAAAATATTTCCCATAAGCCCTGCAAATATTTCATTTTTTACCTGTCGGGACCATGCGTTCACCAGGGGCCTCGTGGTCTTCCGTGCAAGGCATCAGTTCGCCCTTCTCCTCTGCCAGGGGCACTTCCTGCCGGTGCTCTGAACTCGCTGAAGCACCTTCCTGACGGCAGCGCTGTGGCAGCTTCCCTTCCGCTTCCCACATTAACTTCCTCTGTAGCTCCGACAGGTTCAAATCTTCCAGCACATTTTTCTCCGCATCATCAGTAGCCCTCCACCCTTTGTTTGCCGGGGAGAAAAAAGGGAGAGCATGGCAAGAATGCATTCATCCAGAAAGAGGAAATGGGGATTAAGGAAGAGAAAAACAAGCGAGGAGCCCACCTCCTGCAGGGTCCCAGTCCAGTCTTCCGGGTGGGTTCTCTAGAAAGGCTCGCCCCCTCCTGCAGCCCAGCACTTCCCCCCACGCACCGATCATTTGGTATTTCCCAGTTTCACTGGAGCTGTTTTCCCCTTCTAGAAGGTTGGACTAGAAGGCTGAGCTAGTGGTATTAACATGTAAGACTGGTGTTTTGGGCCCACTGCCTTTTCCCCCAACTTTCACAGATTTTTTCCTAACAAAGAGCCAAATCCAACCAAGACTTCAGATTGGATTTGAGAACACTGTGGAAGAAAGATGCCTGTGCCCAAGATGATAGATGGTTGATCATATATGGATGCAGATTATTAAAAGACAATCAAAAAGGTGCAGGTGTCCGTTTAGGGCCCCCAGAGCAACATGTCCTCGGACCTTCGGTGCTCCTGGCTCCAACAGGAAAGCCAAACTGCTAAGCCCCTTGCCATGGGTTTAAGGTCATTCCCCTCTCCCTGTTTCAGAGCCTGTTACGCAAGGAACTCCAGCAAAAGGGCATATTAGCATCTTCCCCTCAAGGATGATCAAGGAATTTGCATCGCGGTTTCTCACAGCAGTTAAGTATAACGAGTATCAGTTACCTTTATAGCTACACTGAGTGCCTGTTTTGGACGCTTGGAACAATTTGCGCTTAACTCATCACAGTGTCTTATTCTTCCCAATACACTGACCCTTTTGCCTTTAACCTGGCTCAGTGCTTGTGAGATTCTCAAAAGTTTGTTTGAAAATGAACATGGTCCTAAGGCCAAAAGAACAAATACACTCATGCTGTAGAAAGTAAAAAAGTATTAGCATATCCATATCCATATCCATATCCATATATATATATATATATATATATATAAACCTTTTTATTTAAGTGTTATTTTAAAAGTTAATAGTTTTAATGATTCCAGTTGCTTCTGCTTTGTCTATTTTGATTTACTTTGATTTATTTTATGTTTATTTATTGTTTTATACAGTATCACTGTTTTAATCTGTGGATAATGTTACTAGATGTTTTAAATTGTTTTTAACTTGCTGTAAGCTGTCCTGAGATATTTATATAAAGGACAGCATATAAAAGCCACAAACAAACAAACAAAGCTTAAAGCTGTTGAGTGACTGGCCGAGCTTATGTGAGGTCACAGAATGTCCTGATGGTTGAGGAACAGGATTCCCTTGCGTGCAACAGGATTAAGGAATATATTAGACAAGTGCAAAGAAGCAACCGCTGGGGTTCTCTGCAGAACATCAGGAATTGGAGGCTGGCGTACACCCTGGACTTGCAAAGGAACCACGGTTGAGCCCAACCCAGGAAGGGACTTCGCAGCACCCAGGCACATGGGCGTGCTCTCCCTTACCCACAGGATTGGCATCCCCGTTGTCCTCTTCCTCTTTGGTCTCCCTGTGCAGCTGCCCCTCTTCAGAGGCTGACGGAGCTGGCTGTGTGTCCTGGCAATCTGCGGCTCCCTCCTGCAACGCCACCTGCAAGAGCGGAGAGAGGGCTTTCCAGGGCAGAGCAACGGGGTGCGAACAAGGAGGACTTGATCGAAAGGCCTGTTCCCAGACAGCACCCAGGGGAGGCGTGCTGGGGCATTTGCCAAGGGCCTGCACCCAGCAGGGGCCCACGGACAAGAGCCCCCCGAGATGTGCCTCCTCTCCCCCGTTGTACCCTGCTTGCGCCCCTTCCACTCACTCTGGTCCAGGCCATGGTGGTGGGCAGAAAGGAGGAGGAGGAGGAGGAGCTGCAGGCCCTTCGCAGCCTGGCTCATGCAAACAAGCGGTAGCCAGGATGAGAGGAGAACAAGGAACAGGAGTGGTCGGTGAGAACAGCAGCGGGGAGGCGCAGAAGAACCCAAGACACCCCCGCCCAGCTCCTCAGCAACCGGTGTGTGCAGGCATGCCACCCCCGGGGAACGAGGGCCCGCTCGGGCTGGTGGCTGTCAACAGCCTCCTCCAGGAGTCTATCCGGCCCTCTTTTCTTAGCATCACAGAACAGCCGAGTGGGAAGGGGCCAGAAGGCCCTCAGGTCCAACCCCTGCTCAGCGCAGGGCTCCAAGCTAAACCATCCCTCTCAGACGGCCGTCCAAATGGACGGCCGCCGCCACCTCCTGTGGTGAGTGGTTAAGAGTGTGGGACTGGGACTCAGGCGACCCGGGTTCGAGTCCCCGCTCGGCCATGGAGCCGACTGGGTGACTTTGGGCCAGTCACAGACTCTCAGCCCAACCTGCCTCACAGGGTGGTTGTTGTGGGGATAAGATGGAGGAGGAGAATGATGTAAGCTGCCTTGAGCCCTTTGAGGAAAAAGGCAGGATATAAATCGATAAATAAATAAATAAATAAATAAATAAAAAACAAGGTCCGCAGTTCAACTCGAAGCCGTCTGAAGAAGTCCCTTCTTTGAACTGTCTTGAACTTCCCACCACCCAACTCCATGGGATATGAGAGAGGGAAAAAATGCCTCCATTTTCTCCATGCCAGGTCCAATTTTAACCACATCTATCCTGTTTCCTCTTCCTCGCCATTTTTCCGAGCTAAACTGCCCCAGTTGTTGTAGCCACTCCTCAAGGGGAGCTCTCCCAGCCCCCCGAGAATTTTTGTTCCCCTTCTCTGAACTCCCCGAGGGTCGGTCTTGTCGCGCACATGTGCTCGGATGAGATTCCCATGCACACACAGGAGAGTGAGGGCTCTGGTGAGAGCCATCGCTCAAGCTTAGAAGAAGAGGAGATTATTATTATTATTATTATTAGAACATTTCTATGCCGCCCCTTGCCGAAGCCTCGGGGCAGCTTACAACACAATAAAATACAATACAATACAAAAATAACAATATAAAATTAAAATTAATAATATAAAATAAATAAGAAATATAAACGATATAAAAGAAGTTATAAAAGAAAAGTTTAAGAGAAGAGAAGAGAAGAGAAGAGAAGAGAAGAGAAGAGAAGAGAAGAGAAGAAGTCGCCCTGGCCAGATTATTACTCCAGCAGCAGTGCGGAGCTCTCACCCTGATGCTACAGAAGTTGTGACTAGTGGAACGCCAGGTGCTGAACGGCAGGCCGAGACGGTACAGGATCAAAATGCTTCAAGGACAGACACGGGTGGACTGATACTATTCTCACTTGTGAGAACGAAGTTGAGAGAGAGAGAGCAGGCCAGGGAGGCTCCTGGGACTTATTTCTTTATTTATTTGGGTATTTTTACCCCGTCTAATACGCTGCGGGTCTCTGGATGGCCTACGAGTCATTTGGGATGCTCAAGCGCACAGGCCCATGCGTCGGCTGAGGCAACTGGACACGATTCGAGGAGGGGCGGCAAGCACGCGTCCAAAGCGCACCCCCCCCCCCCCAGAGACAGGCCCCGAAGGGTTCGTAAGCAGTGTGGGGTGACGTCAGTCAGAGCGAGAGGTCAGCTTTCTCCCCGAGTGTATTTTTGGTGTTTGTGAATACTTGGTAGCCAATTGGAATAAAGACTCTTTAGCCATTGCTGGATGATTGCCTTCGTTGGGAAGGGACTCCTGGCTCACGACGGGTCTCTTGCCCAAAGGCCCTGGAAGGACACCTCTTGCTTGACTGCTGCTGCAGGGCCAAAGGGGTCTGTCTTGCTCTTGGGCCTGGCTGGGCCTCTCTTCTAAAGCCAAGTGGCCTCACCTACCCAGCTCACATCCCAGGGATAACCTCACTGCATCTCCCGCCCCTGAAATCCTTTTCTCTACAGCAATTTACACAGGAGGTGGAGGGTGAGACTCGGGGGTATTGTTAGACACGTGAAGGAATCGGCTGGCCAGAGTCAAAGGGCAGAAATCTGCACAAAATCTGCACATACTGATTCGCAACTCTATCTGTAGATTTAGAAACAAATGTACATCTGCTTATTATCTCTGTCTGCATATGCAAATTTGGAAACACTTAGCAGGATGCCCTAAACTGCCCAAAGAGCTTTGGCCACGGGTGATATAGAAATTAAATAAATAATGAGAATGTGTCTAGATGTCTCAGGAGGCGAAATTACTTTCTCATCCAAATCACCTCAAACAAAATGTATTTTTCTATTAATTTGCACCTGCATCACACCAATCCAGTGATTGTTTAAGAAATTCATAGAAGTCCTTCTAGAGAACACGTAAGAACCCACAAGTGTCCTTTAAGTCTGTGTCTTACTACATAGGGTAATAAAAAGGAAAAGTTCAAACAGGAAAACCACGTAAGGATCAAATAATGGGGGGAAATTTCTGCTTGGTGGTGAGGAATAGTTTGGACACAGGATAATGGTCTCACCTGACTTCGCGCTGAACTGCTATTTCGTACAATCTGTAGGAAATCCTCAGCCAGGGCCACAGCATGGGAGCAGGTCTCTGGGCCTTGTTCCCTGACCCAGCTCTGTGTCTCCGGGGGCAGGACGGCCAGGAACTGCTCCAGGATCAGCATCTCCAGAATCTGCTCCTTGGAGTGCCGCTCAGCCTTCAGCCACCCGTGGCAAAGCTCCTGGAGCTGGCTGTAAGCCCCCCTCGGCCCCTCAGCCTCTTGGTAGCAGAAGCACCTGAAGCGCTGGCGGCTCTTCTCCCTACTGACAGTATCTCCTCTCAAGATGGCTGCCTTCAATTTCCCATAGTCCTCTCTGTCGTGGGACTGGAGCATCTGGAAAGCCTGCTCGGCTTCTCCACTGAGGGCGGGCAGCAGCCGGGCCGCCCACTCTTCCTTGGGCCACCGGCAGGCCTTGGCCACTTGCTCGAAGGAGGCCAGGAAGGCCTGAGCATCTTCCCATGGGGTGGGCTCCTCCAACTCTTTTGGAATCCCCCAGTCAGAGTGGGGCGACTCCATTTTCTCCAGGAAGTCCGGCCACTGGGTTGCCTGATGCAGGACCTCATCTGGTTCCTGCTTAACCTCTTCTGGGATCCTTTGCAGGAATTCCTTCATACCCGCAGACTGATGTTCTCCTGACTTAGGGCCTTGTTTCTTCATTTTCACTGTTGTCTTGACCCTCGGTGATTACACAATCCAGAAAATTGTCGAATAAAAGTTCTGGACTGATGCAACAATTGGCTGTTCCTGGAGACACAGATACAAACCAGAAGGAGACAGACAGACTGGATTTATATAACTTGACAAGCCATCATGGGTGAAAAGTATCTATCCCTATCAAAAAACTAGCCTTGACCAAAACAAAAAACCCTTCAATATTATGTATTTATTCAATTTATATTTTGCATTAAATTAGTCCAAAGGCTCTCTCTAAGTGGATAGCTAGCTGCCAGACCTCCATTCTCCTGTAAATAGAGTGACTTGAAGTTTTGCACTTTCCCCAAGCACCTAAAATCTCAGGAAAAGATGGAGAAGTGAGAGGAACCTGAAGAGGGCTAAGAAAAACAAAAACGAAACAAGGATCTTGCTGTGAAAGGGGTGATCTACTGGCCACTTGCTTTTTGGAGCACAGATTATTCACAGCTTTCATTTCTCCTGACAGCTCACCTTTAGACAGCTTTGCAAACACCCTGGACTGACAAAAAGAAATAGAACAATTCAGTCCAGAACAAAAAGGCAGAAGGTGCTAGGCAGAAGAAGAGCAAATAAGAAATGGATTGACTCCACAAAGGAAGCCATGGCCTTGAATTTGCAAATGCTGAGCAGGGCTATTAGGGATGGGGCATTTGGAGGGATTTCATTCATGGGGTTGCTATAAATCAGAGACAACTTGACAACACATAACAGTTACCACTACCTAACACAGAGCAGGGGCCCTCTGGGCAACCCAGATCTGTCCCTGCAGCTTAAAGATTCTTTACTCAGGAAACAGCTAAAACATGCAAAACAAGCCCCTTTCATGCTGCAACATTTTGTTGTAGGCTCATGTGTGTATTTTATAAGGCCAAGAGGAATGCTGCTTCTACCGTTCTACGTTTTGTGCAGAGTGACACACAATCCCCAATGTACCGGTTGGTTTTGTGCCAGCTGAAGGGTACTTTGGGGATTGTGGGTCCAGCACTTTTGAGTTTTGGAACAAATCTGAAGCAGCTACAATTTACATGAGATGTCCAAGGCGAGTCCTGAGTGCGGCAGAGGTCAATCGATGAATGTAAATGGGAGCATCAGTGAAAGCATGAGCCGGAAACCAGGCAGCAGCAGGAGAGCCATTTTTAAGCAAGATATATATGCACTTAAGACACATGACTAAGAAGAGGTGGCAGAAGCAGGGGGATAATATATAACCAGATGGATGCCTCGGCTTGATCTTCCGACCAAGTACTCCATCACTCCCCTTTTGTTCTCAACACTATTTCCCGGAATCGCCTAAAGACGATTTTTATTTTTATTCGTATTCTTATTATGTGTTGCTTCCTATGACAATCATCTCTAAGCAAGTAACACACCCAAACGCAGAAATCCACTATTAATATACTGGGGGCGGCGGGAGGAGGTGCGGGACTTGGATAAACTGCCCCCAGCAGAATAAGCCGGACATCTTGCAGCTGGCGCGGCTCCATCCGGTGCTGCAAGGATCGCCTCCCCCAATTTCACGCGCAGAAGCCGGGGGGATTGCTTGCTCCCCCTCCTTCGCCTCCGAGGCAGTCGGCGGTGTTGGGGGGACGATCGGGCGAGCGTGCGCGGCTTCCTCGCCGTTTTCCCGCACCCTCTTCCTGCCTCTGACCTCCTTCCTGCAAACAACCCGAAGGGCCGGCGAAGCGCCCGCGTGACACAGCACCCCAAACAAACCGCGGCGCATCCCCGTGTCGATTCCTTCGAAACCTTCCCGCCGCGAGAAAAGCGCCCTTCCCGGCAGCTCTGCTGCGACTCACCCCGGGGCCCCGCCGGCCACACGCCCCCCGCCGTCCCCGCAGCCTCTGCGGGGAAAATCAGACGCGTCTGGGAGGCTGGGAAGGCGGAGAAAGGGGCCGCTTCCGGGGAGGGATCAGCTCCGAGGCCCCCAGGCCACCTCCTGGCTCGACACCGGCGCTTTGTCCGGGAATCCCGAGGAGGGGGGTCCCTCGCCGCGACCCTCCGGACCAGCCTTCCCCGCCCTGGCAGCCTGGGGAAGCATTTGGACTGCAACTCCCAGAATTCCCACCCAGCAGGGCCGTTGAGTGGGACTTCTGGGTGTCGCAGTCCCGGCGTGTCTGGAAGGCGCAAGGGTGGGGAAGGCTGCTCTGGACTGGAGATCTTTCTGAAGGCAGATGCAAGACTGCAGAACAGCGCCGTCTTAACGCATGGGCCTGATGGGCAAGTGCCCATCTAATCTGTGCATGTTAACCCTTCAACGCACCTTGTATCATCTATGATACATACCGATCAAAGGCGTATAGTTACTTCACTAATTGCTCATTCAAGTTCTTTTCTGCTTTGTATCTTTCCTGATACAACCCAGCACTGTGAGTAGTTGTTGTAGGGGCCCCAGTACACCGCTTTGCCCGGAGCCCATGATGCTGTTAAGGCGGCCCTGCTGCAGATGGCGTGGGTCCCTCACCCCATCACCTCTTCCCCTCCCTTTCTCTAGTTTTGGGCCCTAGCTGGCTGCACTTGTATTTCCTGAACTTTTTCAGCCTGTGTCTGGTCAGGTTGAAACCCACAGAGGGATCAGAAACAAACAAATCCACAGAGGGAGTAGAATGTGATTCACAGAACAGGGGTGTGGGATGTGATGGATGCGGCCCACTTCTGGCCTGTTCTGGGGCCCGTCAGACCCTCCAGAGCCCCATCACTGATCCTTCGGTGGCATCCCAGTCTTCACAGAATGGGTTTCGGTGTCTATTCTAAAAGTTGCAGGGCTTTTCCTAAGGCTTTGTTATGGGGGGAAAAGGTGAAAATATGCTGCTGTTTTTGGCTGCACCCCTTTTTCCTTCAGACTCCCCCAGGAATTTTAGCCTCCAAAATAGAATTCCCCCCACAGGCTGAAATAGGTTCCCCATCCATTATAAAAAAAATCAGATCAGGCCAAAGGCTGGTCTGGTTCAAAGTCTTCTTTCACCTTGCTTCTGAGGTGTTCTTTATCCCATCATAAAGGTACACTACCTCTCCCCATGGAGGTTCCATTGAGCCATGCAGAGTAAGATAATATGAGGATTCTGCACAGGTCAAACCAAAGCTCCACCAAGACCTTTATCCTGGCTAATCCAGACACATGTGCAGAAAGTCCCAGGTCCGGTTGTTGGCAGCTCCAGTCAGGAAGGACCCGGCGGGTTGGAAGGGAAAAGATCTCCCTCCAAGACTTGCCAACCAGCCTTTCCTGCCTTACACACGGATGGTTCATTTCAAGCTCGTGTTTTTCAAGAGCTCCGGAGTAGTGTAGAAACAAGGATAAACAGCCGAACGGTGCCCAAGATCCTCTCCCAAATTTGCATAGAGTCTGCACAGTGTAATTGAGAGCTACTTTCTCAGAAGCAAACCTTACTGAGTTCAGTGGAACATTCTCCCAGGTGAGTGAGTGCAACTTTAAAGGCAAAAATGAACAGGCTCAAACCCCAAACATTTAAGAGGAAAATCACCTGACGCTGATTGTCCTTTAGCCTTCCTGTTGTCATCCATCCAGTTTCCTCATTTTATTTGTCAATATCTTGACATTATTTAGAATACAGCAACAAAGCTTCTTTTAGCACTTTAAAAGCCCAACACCACTTTATTCCACTTTGGTCAGACCTTATGCACGGAGTAAATGGGGAAAAAGTATTGCAAGGAGTGTTTCAGAGATGGTGAAAGCCTAAAGAAGAAAAGTTTAAGTAGTTAGGTCAGCTGGCCCTGGAGAAGAAGTGACCAAGAGGTAAGATGACCACCACTTTCAACCCCTGGAAGGGCTGCGACGTAAAGGATGGCGTTTCTGTGTCCGATTCATGGTGCTGTTTTTGACTCACCAAGTCTTACTACACAGGTTGGGACTGTACCAGCTGATGAGACCCTACCTGTATGCTACATTCACCTTCTACAGCCCTCCTCCAGGTGCCTCCACTGAGGGAAGCTAGGAAGGCAGCCACAATGGACAGAGTCTTCTCAGTGGTGCCCCCATTTTGAAATGATCTCCCCAGCAAGAGCCACCTGATGCCAACACTTATTTTTTTCAGTGCCACAAGTTAAGACTTTCCTCTTCTTTCAAGGTATTGGCAGCCTATGATGGGGTTTTAATCAGACCCTGGATTTTTTTAAAAATGGCAATTGTTTACAATTGCTTAGAAGTGAGTGGGTGCTGTCTGTTGATATGTCTCTTTGTAAATGTATGAAGCCAAGGTATTAGAAGACTGGAACTTGGAAGGGCAGCCATGAAGGAGCTAGAAGAGATCAGCAAATGTCTCTAGAGACCAAGGCCAGGATCAGCCACAGTCTCGTATTCCCAACCACCATGCAGGGGTGTGTGAGCTGGACAGTGAAGGAAGTCCACGGGAAGAAAGAGGCTGCATCCGAAACATGGCGCTGGGGGAAGAGTTGGTGAATACCTGGTCCGATAAAAGACAAGCAGGTGGGCCCTGGAGCAAATCAAGCCAGAACTTGCCCTGGAAGCTAAAACAACAAAACTGAGGTTGTCAAAATTTGGACACATTGCGAGAAGGCACAACTTCCTGGACAAGACCATCCTGCTAGGGAAAGTCCAAGGCAGAAGCCCAAATATAAGACTTCTATAATGGAAGCTGCAGGCTTGCGTTTACACGAGCTGAGCTGGGCTGTCCAGGGCACACATTCCTATGGAGGTGAATCATCTTAAGTTGGAGATGACCGGACAACATGTAACAACAGACGTGTACTTTTAAGGCTTTTAATATTTGTAAACAACCCAGAGACCTTTGGCTGTTAGGCAGTCCACAAATGTGAAGGCATGAGCTTATTCAGGACTCAAAGCAACAGGTTCAAATTACATCTGTTATTTTTTTTCCTCTCCCCAGAACCTTGGAAGGATTTTTGATCGTGGCACAGAATCCCCTTCAATTAGGGCACAATCCTTAAAAAGAAAAAGTCCTATATTTCCCAGAATCCCCCAGCCAGTGTCCCAAGAGGCTTTTACGCAGACTTTTTGAGGATGCTACAGCTCGCCCTGGCAAAGTGTTTGCCCAGATGACCTTTAAGATGTTAAGAGCTTGAACACTTCAGTTCCGGTTCCAGCCCTCAAAAGTTGATCCTGCAACACACAGATTACTCCTTAATAAAGATACCCACAAAATCACGGCTTTGCTTCCTCTCCCTCCCATACTTTTATCCTCACAACTACCCTGTGAGGCAGGTTAACCTGAGAAAAAAGATTGATCCAAAGCACCTGGATTGCTTCATGGCCAAGTGGGGAATTGAACCTGGTTCTCTTCGGTCCCAGCTGCACATTTAACTGGCTTTCCCTAACCTGGGGAAACCTCACACACGATCTTCTGAACTATTATTTCTATGTATTCATTTATTATATATATATTCTGCTTTTTCTTTCAGAGAACACAAGGTGGCTTACATAATTCTCCTGCCTCATAGCAATCTTACCATCACAACAACAACCCTGTGAGGTAGGTTGGGCTGAGAGTCTGTGACTTGCCCAAAGTCACCCAGTGAGTTCCATGGCTGACTGGGGACTAGAACCCAGATCTCCCAAGTCTTAACCACTAGAAGATATGAATACCTTGTGTGACCTGGGCCTTGTGCTTTGTATGCACTTTTACTTTGTAACATTCTCCCTCACAACAGCCCATCCAGTAGGCCCCTCCGCCAAGAATCCAGAGCCACTAATCCCACTTGGTGGTATCTGGTGGAGCAGCATTCCACCAACCTGTACAAAGGGAGATAAGACCAGGGTGCAGGATTTTTCCACCTGCAATGCTCAACGTGTACTTAATTTTTTCTCTTCCCTCCCCATCCCTCTTTCCTTCTGTGTCATGACTTTTTAGACTACAAATCTGGAAATAAATAGATCATCTGCCTGATGAGGCCTACAGGCTTGCATCGATACAACTGGGGGGAGGGGGGGCAGCAAGGCCACCGACAGTGCCTTAAAGGTGACAGCTGGATCCACAGATCTCTAGGGATAGGCCATTCCCTGATGATGTCCACATCTGGTCACAGTGCATTTGGAAGTGAAGTTCTCATCACAGCAGTCCCTACAGCTTCAATGCCAAACAGAATTTGAAGCAGCAGGCAGCTGCACTGATCCATGCAAACACACCTCTTCAGGCTGTTTTCATCCCCAGCTTTTGGGTCTTCGTTGCCCAGTCCAGACAAGCCGCCCCAAAACACGGTGCACAACAACAGGGAGCTCCACTCGCTCACTGTGCAAATATCAGCTCAGCTCAGAAGAAACAATTCTGAAGAAGGAGGGACATCAGCAACATCAGCAACCTTGCTGGAAAAAAAGGGAGGGCCTTGGGGGACCCCAGTCCCTACTGGTTTGAAAGACAGGTGAGCCACTGGATGCTCAGGCCGTGCTACTGGTGCTTTTTTATTGATTCAAAAGCAAATGGTGTGCAGGAATGAACAAAGGGCCGGCTCACAACCGGTTATAACCGCAGTACAGGGGTCAGTGCCCCTCTGGATAAACAGGACAAGCGAGGTTTGCAGCTTTTAGCTCCGAAAGTCTGACTGGGCAAAAACACCCCCCTTGTGAATGCACCCAGACACGGCAACCTCCGCACACGATTTGCTCCTTCGATGCTTTTAAAAAATCCCCTCCAATGAAATACCCATATTTAACTAGAAGACACCGATTCTTTTCCTGTCTCATCAGAAAGAGATATTTTTTCCCTGAGTCATCTTACGAGGTGCCTGCAGCTTCTCTCTGTTGAAGATTCTTTAATACTGAGCGAGAAATGACTTGCAAATGTACCTCTTCCTATGCGCTTATCCAAGGGTAAGCAAACTGTGAGCCACCGGGCAAAAATTATGTGGACCTAGACTTAGTTTCAAAAATGTTCTGGAAGCGATCCGTTCAATGCAAGTGTTCTTTCCCCTGCAACTTTTTGGTGGAAGAGAGGGAGCGTGAAGGGGTGAAGTGCGGAGGAGAGAGAGAGAAAGTGTGGTGGTAGAGGGAGGGAGAGGAAAGCCACCCATTTTTCTCTCGTTCCACCCACCACTGGCCTCAGCTCTGCCCGCCGCAAGCACGCAGACCCTGACAGATTAGGTTCAAGGGAATGTGTTACCAGACGACGACGACAATTTGGCCCACCCCGATTTTTTCGGTTTCTCTCCTGCCTGGGCACAAACAGGCCTTCTGCCCACGCAGCCTCTACTCCACGTGGGTTCGCTCGTGTTTAATCAGGAGCCACTTCTGACTGAAACGTCTCCAGCAGTGGGAACATCGGTACGGCTTTTCGCCTGTATGGGTCCTCTCGTGCCTTATAAGGTCCGAACGTTCAAAGAAGGTTTTTCCACAGGCGGAACACTGGTGGGGTTTCTCTCCCGTGTGCTTCTTTTTATGCTTGATGAGGTTCCAACTGTAAACGAAGCTCTTTCCGCAGGTGGAGCAGGTGTACGGTTTCTCCCCCCCGTGGATCCTTTCGTGCTTAATGAGGAGTGAGTTTCGGCTGAAACACTTCCCGCAGGCTGAGCACTGGAAGGGTTTCTTCTCGACATGGGCTCCCTCGTGGAAGGTTTCACACACAGCTTTCCCACAATAAGAGCGCTTGCAGGGACTTTCCAGAGGGTGGATTCTCTGGTGTCTCGTAAGCTGGTCCTTGCAGACGAGGAGTTTCCCGCACTGAAACGGCATCTCGCGATTAAGGACTCGTTCGTGGCCGGAAAGTCCTGGGACCTCCCCAAAGACTTCCTCGACTATCATGTATGCCTCTTGCTTGTGTCCTAAGACGCATTCGCCAAGGATCTTGTCTGTCACACTCGGAGTGGAATCTCTTGTGCCATTCCTCAGATGGCTTCTCTGCTGCCTCTTTAGTCTGTCCTGATCTTCAGCCATTTTGCCCTCATCCCCAACTTGGGAAACAACTTTGGTTGCTCTCCTTTGGGGCTTTACTGGCTCGGAACGTTCCAGAAAGTTCTCTCTGACCTCACTTGGCTCAGGATATTCCAGAACATTCTCTCCACTTTCACACACTTGCATGTAACCTTGAGGAATGAAAAAGGGGGAAATGGTCATATTTGTTGTTGACAGATCTTCTCTGGATGAAGCCTCACTTCATATTTATTAATTACTTCAATTAATGTACCAGGTTAATATGGTTGATTTTATATCATCATCATCACCATCATTATTGTTGTCATTGTTGTTATGTTTTAAATTTTAAAATGCCAGGAGACATTTATTTTATGTGTCAGCTAATATATTTAGGTGTAATTCTATGCATATTTAGATAGGAAAAGATCTAAAAAATCCCAGTATTCATCAATCAGCCATGTTGGCTGGGGAATGCTGGGAGTTGTCAGATTTTTAAAATGTTTAGATACAGGATTGCACCTGCAATAAATGAATGAATTCCTCACGTCTTCAGCAGACAAGTGAAAGAAAACAGAGGAAAACAACTAACGCCATCAGGAGCCTCACACAAACTAATAAAACAGAATCAACAGCATGTGGGATGGCGGAAATAAAAAATATTTTCATATTGATATTTGAAGTTTTGAAAGGCTTGGCCTGGCACTGAAAGATAGACGCGGGTAGTGGCAAGATAGTGCGTTCCAAAGTCAGAACAGGGTAACAGAAAGGGCTCCTTCACTTTTCACCAGAAACTTTACCTCATAATGTGGCCTCTAATTCAATGGGAATCTGATGAGGTGAGTGACTAGAAGGACAGACAGAACCCTGCTAGAGAGAACCCCTCCTGGAGAGGTTCACTAGGTACCTACACTGTGGTATTTTCAGCACCAGGCAAAGACCTTTGGGTTTTTCCAGGCCTTTTAACCCTTCGGTTTTAAAAAATATGTCAGGGCACAATGCTATCAACCCTGTGGCAGACATTCACAAGTGACCGTGCCAGATGTCCTAGTCGGGTGTCCAGGGAAGGAGGGTACAGCACCAGTCAGAATCAGTGCAATGCCCCAGCTGCAACCTCACCTGCCGCCTGCCCCCTTCCCCCCCACACAAGGCCCACTTGCAATTTTGGTTACAGGGACAACCAATGGGGCTCCTTCTGCACCAGCCCATGAGGGGCACGGCAGGAGCTTGGTCCTGAGACTGCGGGATCTTGGGGTAGGATTTCCAAAATCTTACAACCACTCAAGATTGTGTGTTTCCTGAATTTAAAAAATTTTGCACGGATGTGGGCTTTTATTTTGATTACTCCCTTAGCTTTACCTTGATATAAACTTACTTTTTATATTATATTTTACTATGTTGTTGTATTTTTGGTTTTAAACTTTATTGTGTAAACGGCCTGGAGTGCTAATTGGCAGTAGGGAAACTGGCTCACTGGTGCTCTAGATATGCAATAAATAAATAAATACTTTTGGGATGGTTGCTTAAATTTGTACTATAAGACATGGTGCCATAGAGATTGAAACAACTGAACATGTTATATTTTACTGTCAGTTTTATCAAGAAATACAGGCCAAGTTTATTTCTCATCTGCTTAGAAGGTGGCCAGGCACCTAAGGTTGCCAGGAAGCTCCTTCTAGGCACCAATGACCAGCTAGCAGTTTGTTGGGCTGGGTTCTTTGCAGCTTCCTGCAAGATCTGCAAAGATATCGTATGCAATGTTCTAAAATTTTAATTAAGAATTGTAACAGGCAATTTAAAGCAATTTTATATCATTTGTTTAGTGTTATTTTGTCCTTGAATAGTTGGAATATTTTAACCTATGATACTGTTTGTAGATTGTTTATTAAGATCTTGCTGGTCACTGACCATAATAAATTGATGGCGTCGTTGCTGCTCCTGATTCTGCCCGCTTGTAAGGTGGCTTCAGGAAAGGAAAAGCATTCTGGAATCATCAGAAGGTAGGGCTTCCTCCCTTTCAGAGGCCCAAGACTGCCTACCCTTGCTGAATTTCCATGTCCCCAGACCACAGAGCAGAGGGAGAGAAGGGAGGCAGACTCCGTCGGCTCTGAACAGCCGACTCCACGGAGCTCGTCCCTCCGCTGCCCTCTGCCCTCCCATCAGGCTGCAGCAGAGGGAAAGGTGGGAAGAAGCCAGCTCCAGGTGCTTTGCCCTACAACTCCCATCAGCCTTAGCCACCACAGCTGAGGGTGAGAGATTATGGGAATTGTACGCTGAACACCTGGATGCCCGCAAGCTTCCTACTGCTGGACTAAATGATCTCTCAGGTCCCTCTTCCAATTCCTGGAAGCACGGGGCAAATGTTGGTTGCTTTGGCCTCATGCAAGTGTCTACCTGAAGTTTCAAGGCATGATTGTGACTCCCTAGAATGAGATCTTCACCCTCAACCCAAGATTCCAATAACATCATGAAGGACCTTCGCAGGGAAGCTCCAAGCCAAGCCACCCACCCCATGGCAGCCAGAGAGAACGAACTCGGTGTGAAGTCAGACCGAGTGCAGTGATGAGGCCCAAAGGAAGCAACCAGAATGCACTCAACAAACAGGCGAAGTGACTTTCCTGCAACCTGGACCGCGGGTCATCCAAGACAGCTCGACGGCAAGAAAAATGCCCAGATCGGCATCTGCACACTCACTGGCAAACTTTCTCTGTGTAGCGTCCCATCTGTGTTCAAGGTTTAGGCTGGGGAACACTGTGGCTTAAATGACGCATTAGGAAGGCTTGAGGGAAACTGCAAGGTTTCCCACAGTTAAAAAAAAGTTTAGGAAAATAAAAATGAATTACAAAAAGGAGGAAACCCTGTGAAAACAGCCCAATGAGGACTAAGCTGGAATGCTGAGTGGAAGAGGCACAGGCGCAGGGAACGGAGTGCCTGGAACTGGGAAGAGAAACACTCTACCCAACAACTTTCTGTTGCAAGCCGTTCTTGTTGATCAGGATTTGAAATTTAACGTTGCTCCTAAATCACAGAATTTTAACATTGGCTTACCCAGCAGCCTGGCATTTGAATCCTGCTTGGCCTCGACCTGCTTCTCCCCAAAGCCAAGGGGAGTTGGCTCAGCCTTTACGGAACTTGGAGTCCGCACCTAAAAAGAGATGCAAAGATTCCTTTTTGTGCAACGGAGAAAGATCCCGGCCCAGATCCAGTAATAAGATAGGCCGCTGTTCGCCCTTCCTCAGTGTCCCTTCGCTAAACTTAAACCCCTCAGGAATCTCGGGTGGGCTGCTCACCTCTTCTTCCCATTGGCGTGCCTCTTGCTGCCTGAGCAGGAAGTCCTCAGCCAGGGCCACGGCCTCGGGGCACGTCCCTGGGCCACATTCTCTCACCCATCTCTGGATCTCCGGGGGCAGGATGATCAGGAACTGCTCCAGAATCAGCGTTTCCAGGATCTGCTCCTTGGAGTGCCGGTCCACCTTCAGCCACCGGTGGCAAAGCTCCTGGAGCTGGCTGTAAGCCCCCCTCGGCCCCTCAGCCTCTTGGTAGCAGAAGCACCTGAAGTGTTGCCGGTTCTTCTCCCGGCTCAGGGCATCCCCTCTCAGGATGGCCGCCTTCACTTTCCCATAATCCTCTCTGTCTTGGGCCTCCAGGCTTCTAAAGGCTTGCCTGGCTTCTCCGCTGAGGGCTGGCAGGAGCCGGGCCACCCACTCTTCCTTGGGCCACCGGCAGGCCTCGGCCACCTGCTCGAAGGAGGCCAGGAAGGCCTTGGTGTCGTCCCAGGGGGCGGGTTCCTCCGGCAGTTGAGGGATCACCCAGCCTGACTGAGGTGCTTCCACAGTCTTGAGAAACTCCTGCCACTGCACTTCCCATTGCTGGAGTTCCCCCTCCTCCGGTTCCTGTTTAATCTGCACTACCGGGATCCTCTGAGCGTCTTCTCCAATAATCACAGCCTGGAGGAGGTGAGGGCCTTTTCGCACACCCTGTGAACGTTCTCCTTGCACGCAGCCTGCTGGGCCCCGTTCCTCCATTTTCATCCCCACCTGATGCCCCCGCAAGAATCGCTCATATAGAAACTTCTAGAATATAAAAGAGGATTTGGCAAGAAGTTAGTTGCATTGTTTTAGACCAGCATGACGGGTTTCTTCCTGAGTGCGGAAAAACAAATGTGAACAAAGGGAAATGCTGAGCATAGTTTGCTGTTAGCGCCATAAGTGGCTGCCTTCTGCACACCCTTTGCTTCCGGTGTCCATGTTCGCCAAAAGCAGACCGCCCTTCTACAAGGAGGCTTTGGGGAAGGGATTGCGAAGGTCTGAAGAAATCCAGCTTTTTGGAAGAAAAAAATTGCTTTACATGATTATAAAACAGCACTCAGCACTCAAGTCATCCAATAGAACTGTGGGAAACACTTTAAAAGGACAAAAAAGGAGCAGATACAAGTAAAAACAAAAATATCAAAGCCAAAGGCTAAGCATTTAAAAGCTCAACTAAACTGAATTGTCTTCACTAGCCTGACGAAGGTAAACAGAAACCTCCCCAAGGAAAGGATTTCACACTGGGGTGCAACCACCGAGAAGACACTGCTGTTTCTCAACCAACCTAACGGTGGTACAGTTGAGTCATTTTATATTGCAGGTGCAATCCTGTGTATGTTTAGACAGAAAACTTCTCCAAGATGTCCCAGCCAGCATGGGAATTATAGGAGTTTTTTCTATCTAAACATGCATCTAGGAGGCCAAAGGATTCTTTGGAATCCCAGCTCCACAAAAAGTCCAGCTAGATAAAATACAAAGCATAAAATGTGGTAGTGGAGATCAAATTTGAAAGCTTACATGCGTCTTGAAAGCTTATACGGGGCATCGGTGTATGCCCTTACCAACCTTCTGCCTCAGCAGCTCTGCACTGTTTTTATATTCTGTATTGTTCCCTTCCATCTCTCCCCATTCAGGTTGTTGATGGGAATTATAGTCTGATGGAGAAGAACAGACTGGAAGGTTGTCCTGGACAAACTCTGAGTTCTTGTTTAGTGACCTTGCAGCCATCACCAAGACTGCAACTTGTGTTCAGTGCTTTCTCCAGCAACTCCAGTGCTTTCAAAGCTACAAGAAGCAGCATGGATGAGAGACATGGGTCCCAACAGCCCCAGCCAGGATGACCAATGGTCGAGGATGATGGGAGTTGTGCTTGAAAAGGCACTGGACTGCCTGCCCTTGGCTTAGAAGGTAAGAGGAACCCTGCTGACACAAACCATCCTCTCATCCTTCACGTACAGTTCACAACCACCCTTTCAAAGGCGGCTGGATTCACACATGCGGGTCAGCGCCTGTCCGCTCGCACGGCCTTCATCCCGAGGCTCGGGTGCTGAGCTCCGCTGCTCGCTTGACCGAAACGGCACCAGCCACGCACGATCCGAGGCGGGTCCCCGCTCATTCGGGGAAGGACCCAGGGTTGCGGAAGTGCAAACTGCGTGTGAAAGGGGCTGACCCACAAGGCTTGACGCCGAGTGGGTCGGACCGCTCCGAACTGGTCCATGCCCGGTGACCTGGCTGCACGACGCGACGCATCGCGGGATGGGGGAACTGGGCGCGCCGGGGGCGGGCAGGAAACGGAATGGAGTTTCCCGCAGAGGGCATGGCTGGCAGAGCAGCCTGCAACGCTTGGCCGCGGCTCCCGCTGGCCGAGCTTCTCGAATCCGGATTCCGGGGGGCGTCCGGGGGGACAGCCCTCTTCCCCCCACACCCTGCCCGGCAACTGCATGGCAAAGAAGCTGCAGGGATGACCTCCGAAGAAAGAACCGGACCGGGGGGGGGGTTCATTTTCTTTGATGTGCAAGAGGAACGGGGGGGGGCCCTCCTGGGACCAGACAGCACCTGAGCAGGGCTGAAGCGCGCTCTCGGGGTCTCCCCTCCAACTTGCGGCCTCTCCTGCTTTCTCGCCACCCCCCCCCCTTCTTGGTTTATTACACTTCCCCTTGCTGCAACTCACCTCTCCGCTCAGCAAGATCTCCTTCCTCTTCTGTTTTTTGCTGCAGGGAAATTCAAAACCAAACTCCTCCCCTAGCAGGAAAGGGACTCTCTAGTAAACCGCGCTCCGTCGCTTTAACTCTTTGGAAAGCTTTGCAAACAAGAGAAAGGAGGTAAGTACTGTACAACATGCGCTTGACTTTGCGGCGCCTGCCGCAGTTGCGCTGGACTGCGCTTCCCAGCATCCCCAGGCAGAAATGCCCAGCAAGGCTGCCCTTATCCATCCGCGCACAGTCGGCACACACCGGATGCTCGGATCTCCCTCTTGATTTATTTCAGGCATTTACTATATTTAGAGTTCCTGTACGGAACCCACGATGGCTTCAAGAAGGAAAAACTTTTTATCCTCACAGCAACCCTGTGAGGTGGCTTAGATTGAGAGATAGCGATGGGCCCAAAGGCTTCTTGGCCAGGTGGGGACTCGAAACTGGACCCTGGAAGTAAAAAGGAATGGCAGTCTTTGACGTGACTGACGTCCACACCCCAATAGCAGATCGTGCAGTTCATCTGATTAAAAACCACACGGCAGTCACGAAGGTATCAGCAAGGCAAGAGTGCGGTGCAAGCCCACACGCTTCGAGCGCTTTTTCATGTGGCTTCTGGAATGACGTTGCAGTTAACTGTATTCTGTAGCAAATTTTACTGCATTTTATGTACCATTGCAAACGGCCGAGAGCTTGGCTATTGGGCCAGTATAGGAATATGATTAATAACCTAATCCCAGGGTTGTCGTTGTGAGGATAAAATGGAGCTAATGTAAACCACCCGAGAAAGGGGGGATATCAATGCAATGCAAAGCAATTTTATTTATTTATTTGATTTATATCCTGCCTTTTTCCTACAAAGGGCTCAAGGCAGCTTACATCTCCTCCTCCATCTTATCCCCACAACAACAACCCCATGAGGTAGGTTGGGCTGAGAGTCTGTGACTGGCCCAAAGTCACCCAGTTGGCTCCATGGCTGAGCGGGACTAGAACCCAGATCGCCTGAGTCCCAGTCCCACACTCTTCACCACGACACCACACTGGCTCCTTATTCTTATTCTATTATTCTTCTGCCCCCTGAACAGCCAGTGCTCTGGGCCACTGGGACATGCTCTGTCTCCATCAGCCCGTTTTTGGAGCATCCCCTTTTTTCATTTCTTTTCCTAGAAACTTTACTCTGGACCCAAAGCCTAATTTGTACGGCATTCTTTTTTCACCATGCTCAGCCGGATGTCTCCTCTCGATCCGTACCATTCTGCTTGTGTTTCTCAAAAACTGGTACTGTAGGGTTCTCTACACAAGGCAAGGTAAATTTGCACGTCTTCCAGGGCCTCTCCCATGTTTTCCAACCATTTTGGGGCTTTTTGAAAAAGCATAACAAAAACAAAAATTCAACTATTAAATTTCAAATGCAGAACAAACTGGAATGGAAGTTTTTTTGTTTGTCAGTGTTCTGCTAGACTGTCACTTTGAGCTTGGATCATGGAATACAGAGAAAAACAGAGAAAGGCAAACTCTGGGGGAAACATGTAAAAGATGCACATCAGAGACTTGTTCCTTCTGATCCTGGAAGTAGCATAGAGCCATCAGGAGTAGATTGCTCAGCCCCCTTTCAGAAAGTTCTAAATTGTGGCCATCCCTGCATTTGGTAAAAGCAAATTCCACCGTTTTGCTATGTGTTGTGTGAAGCTCTGGATTAAGTATTGGAACTATTGGCCATTTGACAATCCACAAAGACAAGGTTTCAAGCTGGTGTCGGGAGAATTTTTTGGTCTTTAGATTCCTACAGATTGTTATATATTGATTATCAACTGATTTATTGTTAGGATTATTTGGTTTTTCAAGTCTTCAAGCATCATCCACAGAAAAGGGGGATATATATGTTATAAACAACAAACACAGCAACTTGGTCATCATTTTTTAAAAAATATACTTTGTTCATACCTTTGAGTAGGTAGATTTTCATGGTGCAGTTTCCCTGTTAACAAAAATTTATTTATTTAAACAATTAGGTGTAGCAAAGATAACATATAATGCTACATGAAAACATATGAGAAAAGCAAATGGACTATTATGTATGTAGCAAGCTAGCAAAGTTTCTATGAAAACCAGCAACAAAAAGCTGATTTAGCTTTGACGAGACTAATGGAGAAGAAACGGAAGATTTAGATTTTTTCTCACCCATTCCCAGTTGTTCAGTATGAATTTCAATTTGTCCCCTGCATAACTAAATGGTTTCATGAATGTTCCAGTCAGGTCTATTTGCTTGATCCTAAAAGCTGAGCATTTGTATCACTTCTCTTCTGTAAGAGAACATGTAATTAGCAGGTTGCAGATTGATCTGTCTGTGAAAAGCTTCGTTTGCATGGATGGCCCCTTGGGGGATTCTTTGCTGTGAAACAGGGATTGCATTCTTTCTGAGCATTCTTTCTGAAACATGAATACCAGCCTTCTCTGGCCTGCTTCTCTCCAGACTTATTGAACTACAACTTTCAACATCCCCCACCCAGTCCTGCAGGGCACCAGGTTGGGGAAGGCAGACAAATAGAGTTTGTCACCTGTATAAATTCTCATGTGCTGAATAAGACCTGATTTATCACAAAAGCTGTTGTTGCTACAGCCTGAACACTGGTCTGATCTTTCCCTGTGTGGATTTTTTGATGAGAGGTAAGGCAGTCCCCCCGACTGAAGCTCTTCCCACATTCAAAGCACTGATATGGTTTATCCCCTGTGTGAAGTCTCTGGTGCCGAATGAGGTCCGAGTTCTGACTAAAGCTCTTTTCACAGTCTGAGCATTTATATGGCTTCTCTCTTGTGTGGATTCTCTGATGTCTAATGAGGCTAGACTGAGCACTCAAGTTCATGCCACAATCTGAGCAACTGAACGGTTTCTGCCCTGTATGCATTCTCAAGTGCATATTAAGAATTGATTTACGAAGGAAACTCTTCCCACAATTTGAACAGTTATAAAGCTTCTCTCGCCTGTGAATCCTCTGATGAGAAGTAAGGTTTGCTTTGTGATTGAAACTCTTTCCACAGTCCAGACATTTGTGTGGTGGTTCACCCTGTTGGAGTCTTTGATGATGAGTGAAGCTCTTTGCAACAGTCAAGCTTTTACTGGAATCTTCCTTTGGGGGAAAACCAAGACACGGATTCCTGCTCTCATCAAATTGACTTTTCTGTTCCATTGCTATTTCAGTCCATTCCACATCCAGAGGGATAGCAGATTTAGCCTTGTTCTCAGCTGGACTTCTCTCCTGCAACTCTAAATAATTTTGACCCTGCAAGTTTACCTTCAAGCACTCAGAGCTAGTTCTTTCTAAAGATACCTCTTGCATTTCACCTGCGTTCATGTACTCCCAAGCACCTTCTGGAATGAACAAAAAAACCAGAATTAAAGACTAAAAATGTCAGGGTAGAACACTAATTTTGTCTTCCATTTCTTCAAAGGCCTTCCATAGAGGTGGATTTTATAAATGTCAGAAAAATACACAATATTAATTATAAACACCATAGAAAGTAGCAAGGGCAATGCAGTGATCTCCAGTTTGATGTTTTTAATTCCATTTTTAAAAGTATCAATCTGCAAGGAAGCCGACCAAGTTATCCACTTCTAATTCATTTCTTTTGCCCGGGACTTCCTACATGTGGGACAGACACACTGTTTTCACTGCTCGGGCTAAAGAAGCAAGTGATATGCATATCCCTTCACTTCTCCATGGTGGATGCACAGCTCAGTTAAGATCAGGGATATAGTGCAGCCGGGACTCCTACGGACCAAGTCCCCGGACACCCAATTCAGAGGACCATCCCAACTCCAGCCGTTCTTGCCCCCGTTAAGTTTAGCTGCAATGTTGTCAGTAGCTGAGGGAAGGACAGGAAAGGTTTGTATTTTTGTGAATAAATATTAATACTAATAATGCGCATATTGTGACTGACTTTTATACAAAGGAATAGCCTTCGGTCACAGTATGCTTCTCGTGAGACAAAAACGATTTAGGAGGAAACACATGAATAGAGGGAGAGCCACAACCAAGAAGACGCTTTTTCAAGTCGAGTCCTACATAAAAAGAGCTGCCCTGAATCACACCAAAGGTTCCCCTAGTCCAGTTTTCCATTCACACCGTGCCTCATGGGACATCCCGTCACTTTTTTCTTTTCAGCGCCAGGCTAAAACTTCTTTATTGTTCCCAATGTTTTAGGATCTGATTGTTTTAATTAGGGTTTTATTATCAGTTGGATTTTTAGGACACTGTGTTTTATTTTACATTTCGTATTGTTAAACCATCCCGAGACATCCGTAAGGGACGGTCTAGAAAAGTTTTAAATAAATAAATCCATAAGGAGCACATGAAGGTGACAGCACCTTCCTGCCCATCTTCCCCAGCAAGCAGAGTACATAGGCATGGTGCCTTTGATATTGGAGAAAGTGTATGACCATGAGGACTAGCTGCATTTGATAGCCTTCTCTGCCAGGAACTTATTTGATCCCCTTTCAAAGCAATCCAAATTGATAGCCATTGAAACATTTTGCAGAGGCAAATTCCTTAGTTTCACTGTGTGAAGAAGCTTGTCCTTTCATCTGTCCTGAACCATTCACTTTTACCACTAATGAGAATCAGTGTAGTATACTGATTTAAGAGTGTGGGACTGGGGAACCAGGAGCTCTGGGTTCGAATCCCCCCTCAGTCATGGAGCTCCCTGGGCGACTTTGGGCCAGTCACAGACCTCAACCCAACCTACCCCACAGGGTTGTTGTTATGAGGATAAGACAGAAAAGAGGAGAGGAATGATGCAAGCTGTCTTGAGTTCCTTGGAAAGAAAAAGGGCAGGATAGAAATTAAAAATAAGATAAATAAAATAAAATAAACAAACCAGCATCAATGAATGCCACTTTGGGTTCTAGTATTATAAGCAAAATGGCTCTTTCCCACTCCCTCTGCTCCACTTATGGGTTTTTTTTTTTAATGTTTCAGGGCTGATTTCAGGTTTCAAATCTTAGAGCAGCAGCTTGGGGGGAAACCAGTGGCTCCAGCATGCCCTGCCACAGGTTTACCCCAGACAGAAAAGGGGCCCTGTGCAGAATGAAGCAGCCACCTGAAAATCTTTCTCCTTCCTCTGAAATCCGAGCAAGACTTTCCTCCTTCTCTTCCAGCCAAGAGAGGAGATTGGGGTTGGGAATCCGGGAGCCTCCTGCAGCAGAAAGCAACAAAAATAAGTGAAGGCAGGTTAGTTTAGGGATGCTGGGATATCAGATCTCGGCAGGCACCGGAATTGGACTAGACGGACTTTGAAATCCCTTCTATTACATTTCGATCGAACCATTTTCCACTCCAGAATCCCATGGTGCTGGGTAGGAGCCTGCTCTCCATTTGATCCTCTCAACAACCTGTGGGGTCAGTTAGGTTGAAGTCGGCAGCCGGCCTCAAGCTTCATAGCTCAAGGGGGCCTGGAAGTCACTCCAACCCTTTCCCCTCTGCACCCCACTGGATCTATGAACCTTCCGCATTTGGCTCCAGGGAAGGAATAGTCATTGGTTAGGGAGGCTGGCTGGGAAGGCAGGAGAACAGAAATGGAGGAAGAGCCCAAAGGCCAGGCTAGTTTTGGTACCGAAGCTATGCAGACGGCTCTGGGAAGTTTCCCCTCTTTGTTCACCTACATTTCTCCCCCGCCCGGGAGGTTTTTCTATTCCTTACATGCTTTTATCTTCATTAGCAGCCTTTCTCGACCTGGTTGCACCAGATACTTTGCACTGTAACACCCATCAGCCCCAGTCAGTGGTTGATGGGCATGGCAAGCCTGGAAAGCCCCAGCTTAGGGAAAGCTGCTTTATTTCCCCTTCAGAAATCACCCAGTCCACGTTCATCACAGTCAGAGATGATTTTTCTTAATTATGGCTGGACTACTACCCCCATCATCCACATGCCAGTGAGTGATTATAGTCTAACACATCGGAAAGGCATCAGATTGAATTATTACCCTGATTAATGATGTTGTTCAGTTTGCATTTTTAAGCAAACTACAAAATATAGTATAAAACTATTCAAGGTACAATCCTGTATATATTTAGACAGAAAACGGTTCTTCAATCTCTCATAAACGTGTTTCTGGGCTAAATGTGCATAGGACAGCACCCTGAAAGAGTGAACTTATTTACTTACTTACTTACTTACTTACTTTATTTATTTATTTATTATTTTTGTATGCCGTCCCATCGTATGAGCCTCGGCTTACATACAATAAACAAACATAATACAAATAATGCAATTAAAATCCAGAATCACCCTGGCTGCAAATTAAAACCTATAGATGATATTAAAAATTGTTAAAATATTGTTTAAATAAAAAGGTCTTAGCCTGGCGCCGAAAAACAAATAACGATGGCGCCAGGCGGACCTCTCTGGGGAAATGTTTTGTCTTCAAAAACCAGACAAACATTTTAAACATTAAAGTGACATAGAATTAAAACTAGAGAGGAAGATTTGTCCCAAGACAAGCTGCACTGAGCATTGGCAGAACAGCCCTCCGTCAGGGATGCTTTAACTCTCTCCGTCAGGGAGAGCCAGTGTGGCGTAGTGGTTAAGAGCATGGGACTGGGACTCAGAGGATCTGGGTTCAAGTCCCCGCTCAGCCATGGAGCCAACTGGGTGACTTTGGGCCAGTCACAGACTCTCAGCCCAACCTACCTCACAGGGTTGTTGTTGTGGGGATAAGACGGAGGAGGAGAGATGATGTAAGCTGCCTTGAGTCCTTTGTAGGAAAAAGGCAGGATATAAATCACAATATAAATAAATATAAATAAATAAACTTGGGAGACCAGCCCTGAGCAGAGGGTTGGACTCAATGGCCTTGCCCACCCCCTTCCAACTCTACTATCCTCTGATTCTAGATTTGGAAGAGAAGTTACATATTAACTCATGCAGAGTAAAATAAACCTGCCGGAATGTGTGCCATTCAATTTGTGAACCCTCCTCTGATGTCACGGACTGTTCCTGATTGTTCCAACTACGGGATCCCAAAGCTTCCCCCTGCGACTGGAACATCCGATGGGCATGAAACTGGAGGCAGGGGAAGCCCAGAGTGCCGGGTGCACTTCCCCCGCTGCCAGTGCCATCTCTTCATCGGTGGGCTTTACGCTGCAGAGGAAACATTTCCCGCAAAGCCCATGCGCCTCGTTCCTCCTCTCCTGGGGAATCCTGATGGAAGCTGCACCAACATGCATCACAGCAGTTTAATGCATTACCAGCATCAGTTCCAGCCCAGACTGCAGGGAGGTCCAGCTCACGGGGGGTCTTCTGACCTTCCCCACAAGGAACGGGCTCGTCCTGTTTCTCCCCCGGGTGGTTCTCTTGCAGACAGCCTGTTCTCTCCTGATCTGCCAAGGCATTTTCCTTCTCACAGCACGGGGGAAGGTTCACCTCTGCTTTCCATGCTAGCATTCTGTGCGGTTCCCGCAGTTCCGAACCATCCGGCACATACTTCTCTTCGTCGGTGGCCATCCATGCCTCGTCTACTACAAATCAAATCAAATCAATTTATTTATTTATAACATTTTTATGCTGCATCCATCGCAGAAGCCTGGGGGCGGCTTACCAAGAGACTAAATAAACAAAGAATAGAATCAAATCACATCAAATCCCAAGCCAAGCCAAGCCAAGCCTCCAAAATCTTAACTGGAGAACAACAGAACCTGTTTAGACTGAAAAAAAGCAACCCCCAGCCAGAGAGTCATGGGACTTTTTATTACCCAAGGATCTTGCAAAGACGACAAAGAAGCACACATTCTGCTCCCAGACTTCACTCAGCAGGGCACGGACAAAGAACCTCCGGCCAGCAGGCATATGTGGCCCACCTGGTCCAAAGAACCTCCTATGAGGGCTCTTCCCAAAGGCTCAAGGTTTTGGGAGTGAGCAAGACGGCTGCTTTGGGCGCACGTTCTCCAGGGCTGCTGGCTGGTCTCCAGAAGAATCAGGAGAAGCACAGATGCAGGAGGGGGCTGGGGAATATGGGCCATCCAGAAACTCTGAGAGAAGCAGAGACACTTCTCTCAAGGGCAGACTTCCAGGTGGGCGGTGGCCTCTGGGAATCACCAAGCTGTACTTTGGCAGGAGGGGCCTCAGGGCAGGGAAGTTTCTCAGGCTCAGGTGAGGGGGAACCGCTCTTGACCACATGATGCAGCATCAGCAGAGCAGGGTGGCCCAATTAGAGGATCGGCATGCAGAGAGGAGGCATGCCTGTTTTCAGAAGGCCTCTCCTAGCGGGCGAGGGCATGGGCATGTCTGAGGGTCTGGAATGGGCTCCCACGGGAGATGGCTGAGGCCCCATCGGGGAGGGTGTTCAAAGATAGGCTAGACATGCACATGGCGGGCATGTCGTGAGCTGGAGCTGGGGTCAGGCTAGATGGCCCTAGAGACCCCTTCTGACTCGCTCTGTTGCTATGTTCCTAATAAGAGTTCCTGGAGGTGAAGGCCAGACTGGGTTCAACGAACCGCTCTGTGCATGCTCCGAGATTCATTCCGGGGGTTTGTGCTTCTGGAAAACACTCTGGCCAACGAAGAACACTTTTGCATGACGGGTCTGTGGCCACGAAAGTGCAAGGGGAGGAATCCCAGCTCAGCACAGGAGGCCGGCAGGGGGAGGACCCCTCGCTGCAGCCGCTGCAGGGGCTGCCCGTGGCGCAAACGCTCCATCCCAACCGGGAGAGCGAGAGGCGCGCCAAGCGGCTGCCCCTCCCTCACACTCCCACGCAGGGGAAGGCCGAGGGCACCTGTCCCTGCTGGCTGGGGAAATGTGCCACCACCCGGCACCTCGCTGGGGCATCCAGTCCCACTGGGGCAGAATCCTCCATGCACCAGTGTGTGCATCCCGAACAAGACCACCAGCCGGAGGAGCACCGGCCAGGGACTGGGTGACATCGGAAGGCCGGGGTCCACCTCATGGCATCATCGGGGGGGTGCGTGTGCAGGGGGGGATACAGAAGCTGCCAGAGTCCCGAGACCTCCCAGCATGCACACCCCACATGGCAGAATGCGGCACATCACAAGCAATAGCAGAACATAGAGGATCTCGTAAGTATCTTTCTTGTTCCGTGCCATCCAGTTGCCTCCAACTTACGGCGACCCTGTGGATGAAAGCCCTCCAAAATGACCTGGCTCAGCTCTTATAAACTCAGGACCGTGGTGTCCTTTGTGGAATTTATGGCTTCCAGTTTGCCAAAATAACCTCCCCACCCCAAAAAAAGGTCTGCCTGCTATCCACACATCGGCCTGGGGCTTGGCTGAGTTTACAATGATTGATGTCACAGATGGTTCCCAAACATTCCAGCTATTAAGGAGGATGCTTCCTTTGGTGGCCAGAGCAGCAGCTGGGAATAAAAGAGGTGCCATGGGAAACACAGAAAAGGACCAGCTCCCACAGAATGCTGGGAATCTGCATCTCTCTCCTCTACCCCCACCCCAGTTTTTCTTGGGTACCATCTATAGATATTCAAGACAGTGCAATTCCCAAACTCCCTAAAAGGAAACAGAAGGAAGCAGATTCAAGGTCAGTGCAAGAAGAAACTTTATAGCATAAGCAAGCGGTCTGGCATAGGCAGGAACCCTTCTTACCCAACTGGCCGGTTTCTCCATCGTCATCTTCCTCTTTGGTTTCTATGCACATTTGTCCCTGCTCGGAGTCATGAGATGCCTGACTTGCATCGGAGAAACCCGTAGCTGTTTTTTCTGACGCCACCTGCAACAGCAAAGAATTGTTAACTAGGCTTTGTTCTTGGTCTGCAATTCCTGGCTTATTTGGGAAAGACAAACTAGGAGACCCAATTCAGACATACTGCTGTTTTCTACCTGGTGAGTTTTATGCTGGGATGGGCCGGAAATGAACGTCTACAAATGGTCAATATCAGCTTTCATTCTGACCATTCTGGCAGGGGCTTCTGAGCTGAAGTCCAAAAAATCTGGAGACTTACCGTTTGCATGCAAACATGGTCAATACTAGTACAAGCCCTCAGTACAGGGCCTGTAAATAGATTCAATAACTTAAAGGTTGGCTTTTTCAGCTGCAAAATGGGCAAATGCTATTTTGGGAAGAATGAAAGTATTACTTCCAAATACGAGAAGCAGTAGTTCCTCTATACGCCTCACTAGTCAGACTCCATCTGCAATCCTGTGTCCAGTTCTGGGCACCAAGATTTAAGCAAGATGCAAAAAAATTAGAACGGGTCCAGCGGAGGGCAACAAAAATGATCCAGAGTTTGGAAATACTGCCCTGTGAGGAGAGAGAGAGAACTGGGCATGTTCAGCCTTGAGAAGAGAAGGCTGAGGGGGGACACGGTTTCCCATTTGAAGTACCTCAAAGGCTGTCACAAAGAGGAAGGTCAAGATCTCTTTTCACTCATCCCAGAGTGTAGGACATGGAATAATCAAGTCAAACTGCAACAATCCAGATTCAGGCTGGACAGCAGGAAAAGCTTCCTCGCTGTCAGAGCAATAGGACAGTGGAACCAGCTGCCTGGAGAGGTGGTGGGCTCTCCCACAAAGGGGAAATTGGACAGCCATGTGAGTGGGATGGTGTAAAGTGGTGTCCTGCAACAGCGGGAGGCTGGACTCGATGGCCTTCATGGCCCCTTTTGACTGTACTATTCTATGATTTTGCAGCTCTTTTTATTAGCCAAATCATAGATGACATCTTCACATTTCATTTTTTGAAAAAACACATTCTCCATTCTAGGTCATGCAAGTGAAGATGGTGCTTTTTGCCACATGGTTAATCTAAAACAGGCCTTTATAGCTCAACTTTTAAAAAGAGCAGTCCAAAAATGGCAAGAGACATTTGGAAAACTTGCCACCAACTTTTTTGCATAATGCTAATCTCTGTCGCTGTTTCCCTGCCTGCATATATGTGTGCAAACAACTGGAATTCACCTGTGAACGCATGTTTCAGATCCAATGGGCAGGTGTCTGTTAACGCCCTTGCTCTAGAAGCTACTTCATCACTAAACTTCGAACTGCGTGAAGGGAAAGGAAACCCCGCAAGGAGTGCCACCTGCCCTGTTCAGTAAGAACATTACTGGATAAAGGACTCCATACAGAATTTGTCACTGGCATTTCCTGAGCCAGTATTATCCATGCCCATTTCAAACTTTTCACTCCAGACTATTGCTTTGGGGTTCTCTTGGGATATTTGAAAGGCTAGGGTCTTCTTACTAGCTCAAGCAAACACAGACCTCACTGTCCCTGCGTTTGCAGCTATTATTCTGGAACCTGTACAAGGCAAGCATTTAGCTTTAAATCTACCCTGGGGACTGGTAAGAACATGAGAAGAGCCCTGCAGGATCAGGCACAAGGTCCACCCAGTCCAGCATGCTGGACTCTGGGCAAACCGGCTGCCCAAAGGATCCCTCCAGCAGGAGGGGTGACCAGGCTCACCCCCTCTCCTATGACAGGATCTCACCTGGCTTTCCTTCCCCTTGGCCTCTTGCTGCCTCCACAGGAAATCCTCAGCCAGGGCCACTGCCATGGAACAGGTCTCCGGACCACACGCCCTGACCCATCCCTGGACCTCTGACGGAAGGACAGTCAGGAACTGCTCCAAGACCAGTAACTCCAGGATCTGCTCTTTGGTGTGTTTCTCGACTTTTAGCCAGCGATGGCAAAGTCCCTGAAGCCGGCTGTAAACAGCTCTCGGTCCTTCGGCTTCCTGGTAGCAGAAATGCCGGAAGCGCTGGCGAATCGTCTCCCTGCTCAAGGCAGCCCCTTGCAAGATGGCTGCCTTCACTTTCCCATAATCCTCTCTGTCTCGGGCATCCAGGCTGCTAAAGGCCTGCTCGGCTTCACCATGGAGGGCTGGCAGGAGCTGGGCTGCCCACTCCTCCTTGGGCCACCGGCAGGCCTCAGCCACTTGCTCGAAGGAGGCCAGGAAGGCCTTGGCGTCGTTCCATGGCGAGGCCTCCTCCAGCAACTCTGGGACCCTCCATTCTGTGGTGGGGGACGCCATCATCCTTAGCAACAGATGCCGTTGTGCTTCCCAGAGCTGAGCCGAGTCATCTTCTGGTTCCTCCTTCACCTCACATAGCACTGCTCTCTGCAGGGGACCATCAGTATCCCCAGGACGCTTCGTCTTGGTGGATTTCCCTTTTTCCTCCAAGGTCCCCATGGATCTGCAAGCAACGGTGCCCACTGGAAGGTTTTTTCCAGATCTTTCTGAGACTTCCATCTGTGTAGCTCCCACACCCTCCTCCTCCTCCGTTTTCATCCTTGGATGAGCTCACGGCGTTGGCAGCGTATCGCAGAATGCCTGACAAGAAACTAGGAAGCTCTAGAGGGGACCCAAAACTTCTGCCTGGGCGAGAGAGACAGAATCAGGAATTAAGGAAACAAATGCCAAATATTTTGATTGACTGGTTGATTTTATTTCTACCACACGATAGCTGAAGCTGTCTGAGAGGTTCACAATGATTTCTCAAAACATAAAATGAGATACAATAAAAATAAAATACTACTGTATTCCTGATGACTATGCATGGGTGTGAATGCTCGACAGTGAAGAAAACTGACAGGAAGAAAATGGATGTATTCTAAACATGGTCCTGGAGGAGAGCTTTGCGAAAACCTAGGACAAAGAGAAAGACGGACAAGGGATCAAATCAAGCAAGTGCTTTTCCTACAGGCAAGAATGACAAAACCTGGGGTGTTGTGCTTCACACACATCCTGAGAAGTCAAGACTCCTTGGAGAAGACAATTGTGCTAGGGAAAGTCAAAGGCAGAAGGAGAAAAGACCAAATATGAGATGGATCGACTCCATAAAGGAAGCCGCAGCCTGGAATTTAGAAGCGCTAAACTGGGATGGCATACATAAGACATTCTGGAAGGCTTTCAGGCCTTAGGCTTGAGGGCAGATAACAGCAACAGCATGCCAAAATGTAAACCAGTTTAAACATCTCAAGCAATTTCAGTATAACTTGACCTAATAGAAGACACGTGGGTAGGAAGACACCATCACTGTTTCAAAAGCAAAACTTCTGGCCTTATGCTTGGCATATATAATAGTTAAAGGACCGGACTGGGACTTGGAAGATCTGGGTTCAAGTGCGCAATCAGTCATGAAGGTGACTCTGGTTTAAGTCACAGTGTCTCAGCCCAACCCACCTCATAGGGTTGCTGTGAGGGCAAAACTGAGCGCAGGATTCAGCAAGCTTTTTAGAGAATAGGAAGCAAGATATAAAAATAAGGTTTTTTTTAATAAATGAAAACTAAAAATTGAGTAACTGAATTTACAGAGATCAGAGGAAGGGACTGGACCATTTAGGGAGGCTGGATTTGGACCCTGGGCAGGTCAGATTTGGTCTTCCGGCCCAAGAGTCAACACCCCTGATATAATACATACCTTTACTTTTTGTTTGCTTTTCAAAGAGCATCAGATCTTTCTCACCCAGTATGGCAGGACAGGACAGGACTGTCACATGGTGCTGATTGCAGAGGTGAAAACTTAAAGGCTGCCCTTGCCCATCCCTGGTGTATTAAAACCAACCCAGACGACTCAAGGAAGTGAGTCACTCTGCACTTCTCAGGGAAAATAGAAAGAGAAGAATGTTCAGCCTGACCATAAATGCTGTGTTCTGGGAGGAGACAAATCAGGGGTAGACGAGTGGCTCCCTCCACAAAGGGTGGGAAATCTCCCCAAAGTACGTAGGAAATGGGCAAAACAGGGCTGCAGCTGCCAGCTGTTTGGGCACTGCTAAGAAACATACATTTATGAAACACCTCCACTATTTCCTTCTAGGAAGCAGAATTGCATCGGGCTAACTTTTAAATTATAGCATTTCAGAGCTGGAGGGGATCCTGCTATCCTGCATCTCTGCCAAGTTGGCTCTGCTTTCTCTGTCTGGATACCTCCAGCGAGGGAAAACTATGACAAACTGTTCCCTTGCAGAACAGTTCCCACCATTAGGATAATTTCCTTAACGGTCAGCCAAAATCCCATTCCCAACCATCAGTTCTACTGCTTTGCAGAGCAGCGGAGAACAAGTCTGCACCATCCGTGACAGCTTTTGCCCTGACCATGGGTCAGGACCCCGCCTTGCTCTCTGAAGGGGTGGGAGCTCTCAGAAAAACCCTCCTTGCCCCAGGGCAGCTATTTCTGAGTTTAGATTCCCAGATGCTATAGAACTAGAATTCCCATCATTCCCCAGCTGACATAGCCGACCGTTCGGAAGGGATAACCGCCCAGCAACATCCAGGCCCTTCTCAACTTGGGCGCTTGGACTGCAACTCCCATCACCCCAACAATCGACCCTGCTGGCTGGGGATGATGGGACTGGAAGTCCAACACTCCTGGAAAGTGGCTCTGGAGAAAATAGCAGCGGGGCACCTACAACACTTCTGGAGAGAGCGGGACGGATCCTGGTTGAGCTCCTAATTCAGTTGCTAGCAGGGGGCTGGAGAACTGGGTAACGGTGAGGGGGTCTCCCTCTCCCCACCCCGCAACTCCAGTCCGCCGCTGCCCGCCACGGTTTTGCAAGACCCGTATCAATTGCCCTCCCTCACCTTCACCACCGACAGAGACGTGTCCGTGCTGCAACCTCGGAGTCCTCCCCGGCCGGGACAAAGCGCCTTTTGCGCGGGTTTCGCGCGCCCGCGCCACGCTTGGACCGTCCCTTCTAGGAAGCGCCGCGCTCGCTCTCCCTCACCTTAACCCTTTCGCAGGCCGCAGACCCCACCCCCCCCCCCCCCGCGAAGAAGCCGCGCCCCGGCGCTGCTTTCGGTCCACGCCGGAGCTCGGCAGGTGGGAGAAGGGCCGAGCCTTAAGAAGTGCCCGGAAAAAGTAGGAGAGGAGCCGAAAGGAAAACTGCCGGGATCGAGCCGCCCTTGTACTAATCTCTCCGGGGTGACCTGCTTGGAATGATGTGAACAATCTGGTGGCCGCACCTAAAAATGGATATCGTACAATTGGGAAAGGAGCAGGAGAGCCAGTGTGGTGCAGTGGTTAAGAGCAGGGGACTGGGACTCAGACGATCTGGGTTCGAGTCCCCGCTCAGCCATGGAGCCAACTGGGTGACTTTGGGCCAGTCACAGACTCTCAGCCCAACCTACCTCACAGGGTTGTTGTTGTGGGGATGAGATGGAGGAGGAGATGTAAGCTGCCTTGAGCCCTTTGTAGGAAAAAGGCAGGATATAAATCGAATAAATAAATAAATGGGCACCTAAAATGATCCCAGGACATTCCTGGGAGCAGCTCCTGCAGGGAACGGTTTTCTGCTTAGTGTTATTGTGGAAATCAGCTCAGATGTGCAGGTTGTATGCACAACTTTTATGTTTGGCAGTTATTCATCCTGAGAGGCAACGGGAGTCCAGTCAATGCGAGTGCCACTCAGCCACGAGTTTCTAATACGGTATTCAACCATTTCCGTATATTTTGGGTGGAAATGACTGCACTCATATTTGGGGTTTTGTGCAGGGCTTGTTCACACATTTTGTGAACAAAAAAACACTCTATTATCCAGAGATGTCTTTTCCACACTTCCTCCTAAAGCCACAATCATTCTAATGTACACTTGAAAGGCTGCCTTATTCAGCCAAGGTCTATCCCAATGTTAATTAAAAGCTTCTAACTGCAGGTCGGGACAGGAAGCATTTATTGCTTCCCGTTCAGTGTGGCTGGGTCATCTGTATTGCCAGTACTGGAGGGACATCTGATGGGGATACGAGAGTCAGGCTCTGCAACTCCTTACCAAGTGAGACTAGGGTGACTCCTCTTAGGGCCTTCTACCAGCAAGCAAAGATGTTTTCATTCAAGCAGGCCTTTGGCATGCAGGCAGGTCTGTTGGCTGCAGTTTTTACTCCTTTATTGTCACCCTTTTTATCTATTTATTTTCTGATAGTTTTGACTAAGTTCTTGTTTCAAAGTTTGGTTATCACTTTGGTATCAAGTTGCCTTGAACAGTGTGTCCTCGGTGGAAAGATGGGATATAATCCACAATCACTATCTGCAGTGTTTCTTTTCAACTGTAGCTTAAAAACTTAAAGAGCTTTAACCCTAACCATAACACAATTTTACTTTAATTGAATGTTGTATAAACTGCCCTGGAAAAAATCTCTGAAGAGCAGCTTACCAATTTATGTATAAATAAATTGCTATAATGCAATAATAAAGCTATAATAAAAGGAAGGATGTCTGTCTGTCAGCCAGCACCACTGCTATGAAGCCCCGATTTCAGAAATCTGGTAAGTATTCTAAGGGAACTCTACATGCCTACTTATGAGTTATTTGATGTTCATTTTCTGGGCCTTGCTTGGAGTTGTGGGCATTTTCTCTGTCCAAATATGCTTAGGATTGCAGCCCTCTTTACCAAGACAAGATTCTGCCACTCCATAATACTTTGCATTACAAAGAGATTCCACACATTCTTGCTGGGAAAATCCATTTCCCACCCAGCTGCTGTGAGAATTGCAGCTAAGATCAGAGCGAATAAGGAAACCTGATACTGGTGGCAGAGGACAGCAGAAAAAGTCCTGGGGCATCCACCCTGCGAGCCCTGGCTCCACCGTGGATCTCCGAGACAACCAGGAGCAGCACAATCCTATGAATGCTTACATGGAATCCAATCCTCCTGAATTCAAAGGCAATCCCCCCCACCCCCAGTTGAGTCTGGATAGGACTGTAACCCTGCCCAGTTTTCTTCTTCAAATTGGTGTTCTGCAACTTTGCATCAGGAGTAACCTAGGTCATCCCATGCCTTCTGTCCATCTATATTACAGATTTATGGCTGCTTCAGTTTTGTATTTCACTTATAGTGCATTCTTGCGCATACTTGGTTGGAAGTAGACACTGTTGTTCTTCCTGGGCTTACTCCAGATGATTGTGTACAGAACACTGCGGTTTTAAACAGCTATTCCGTTGTTGTTTCAATATTTTTTTGCACTTTTGGGGGGTTTTAAATCCCATTTCTGATTCCTTTTCCACAAAAGGGATAGGCAACTCAAAGGAAAGCTAATAGAGGAAAAAACACAAAGCAAAAGTGGCGACAGGAAAAACACACGTGCCACAGAAATGCTTCACCACGCATAACACATTTCTTGCCGGGGAAGTAAGCAGAGCATGTGACTGGATGGACAAGTGGCAGATGCTCACAATGGACTAGTCACTTGTCATTCAGGAAATAGGGAGATGCCAGTGGCCAGAGGCCACAACTTTGTTTTCAACCAACCCTGGTTGACAGCAAGAAAATATGCAAATACTTCTTAGATAAAGCGGA